TTCAGGAATTAGGCGAATCAAAACACAGTGTATAACTGTGAGTGTATAACTTAGCTCTTAATATAAATCTTCATATTCTCTTAAACGCGGAAGACATAATGGCATAAGGATTGACACCCGGTAATCTGGATCAGAAGGTATGGGATCGAGCCCCCATTACAGTCCCCATTAGATTCCCTAATTTGCTCTAGTAGGAAAGACACGATTTTCCTCTCTTAAGAAAGAGGAAAGAATCAATACCAGCGAACTGTCAGGAAAATCTAATTACTCTCTTGGAAGGTGGGAGGTGGGTAGCCTGCCTTGAACTAGAGGAGCTCCCATACTCATTTCGTTACAACTACGGACACTGGATAAGCCTCAGTGGAGTATCCTGCTTAACTCATAATATAGACCTTTTCTCTTAAATGAAAGTGACTTTTTTTTAAATATAACTTCTGCATTTAACGCCAAATGGATTTTTGTTTTCTATCCAGATACTGCCAGAGAAGCCATTTTTAATGCTTGGAAAGCGGATTTTGCCAAACTCAAACAGCTTGCCAATAGAAACAGACCATCTCCCAAGGAGGTTAAAGCTTGGCACGTGTATGGAAAAGTGAGATACTTTGTGAGAAGGCTAGACTTTCCACCACAGCTGGCAAACATCCGTCCGTTCACAGACATTCTTGGGATCGTTATTAGCGGCATGGGACTCCACGATGCAATTAAAAACCAAAACAAAATGGGTATTGTCAACAATATACTCGGAATTGTTGGTTGCACCGTTGCCTTGGGTTTGTTTGCTGCCCAGACTGTTGCAAAACATGTAGCGAGTAAAGTACTGGCTAAGCTAGTGGGATTCATACCGGTTGTTGGTCCCATTCTTGCAATTGCCTTTTTCCTTGCACCAATTATCGTCCAGATTCTTTGGCCGAGAAGCTTAGCTATAGAAACGGCGAACAAGTTGACGGAAGTGGCGAGCCATGAATTGCAAGGCTACAGAGACCAACTCGCAAGGGCGCAAGGGTGAGTCTTTGATGTCTTTGCATGATGGTGAACATAAATAATATTGTCAAATGGTAACCATTCATATGTTAATGCAGGTTCCCAATTAGTAGTGATACGACTCTACTTTCTTATTCATGTTGTCGCTTGCATTGTGTCATTTGGTGTTTTCTGTTTCAGCTTTGGCTGGCTGTATCAGATCAACTCTGGTGTGCTGATTGAAAGCACCAAAATTCGGCCAAATACTCCAATAAAATTCTTCCAGCCATCTTGCAAAACAGGCACAGCTCCTTGCGATCCTAAGACGGCTGTCTACCAAAGTAAACGCTATCTTGTGTTAGGAGAGGAGCGACGATCTACGTACTCTGACAGCAAATTTCAGTTGGATGTTCGTTATGACTTTTTGGGAGCTCCGCTGGAACGCAAGTTCTGTGGTAATACCATCAATGTTAACACTGGGAGTTTCCGCGAGTACATCGAATTCCTCTCAAGAAGGTACCGTATGGCAACCGTAGGACTCGTTCATCGTAATGTGGAGATCGACACCTCAGCTGTACCCCAGTACAATGATGTGGACCTTAGCCACTTCTCCGCTAGGGACGAAGCTTCCAAGCGTGAAAGAAAGACAAGCCATTCGGATGACACTAGAGCTGGTCATTGTGAACCGGAGAGCGACCGAATCAGCATTGATGAGTTGACCCGGATAAATCCCGTACATGGGCAAGTGAAGATCGACACTGGAGCAGGGAATGATGTGTTCGTAATGAGTGGCATGGTGGGTCGCAATGAGTATACTAAAAATGACTTCCTGGTCGTTGATTTAGGAGCAGATGGTAACCTGCTGTCAATTGGAGCTACTCTCAATATTGGAGGAAAACGTGGAAGCCTCTCGTCCGGAATCTTCTTCGATAACTCTTATGGCGACGGAGATCTTTACTTCATGAAGGGTGACTGGGGATGGAGAAGAGTAGGAAATGTGAAAGGAGTAACCATCTTTAAAGGATCCAGGTATGTGACCACTTAACAGTAATGGAAGAAATAATTTTGATATTCTCAAAAGCCAGATGGGTCGGATATCCAAAACTGATCAATAAATGTTTTCATTACTGGTAATACTAGTTTCTATTGATCAAACGACCAGGGGAATCCAAGTTCTTCACTGACTCTGTTCCTGTAAACAGTTGGCTTTGAATCGATAAAAAAAGAGAGATTTCTCCTGAAGTGCATCGCCCTTTTTTCATTTTGATTCTTTTAAATTTCGCTGAATCTAGTTTTCTCACTTACTCAACTCTAATTCTTTCTTAACATCACTCGTATTTATAATGATGAATACATAATCAATTGTTTATGTTTCATTCAGACTTCATGATGAGGTTACCATGGGAACAAAAGGACCATTCACTGTCATACAGAACGAAGGGGCCAATATATACTCTTTCAACATGTTTGACTTGGAGCATTTTCGGGAAAAAGGTAATTACAAGGGCGTAAGGGTAATTGTTTTGTTTTTGTTTTTGTGACATTAAGTAAAACACGGCGTTGAGGTCGACATGATGATCTGGTGAATACCCTCTGTTTGACACAGTGTGACTTTCCTTTGAAAAATCCTGGCTACGTCCCCGAATAAACTATGGCTTCACCCTTTAGGCTACTAGGTTAACTACCTGCTATTACTACTACCACCATCACTAGCATTACTATCTCTACTAACACTACCACTATTATTACTGCTACCACTAATACCACTACTATTACTACTACCATTATTATTACTACTACCATTATTATTACTACTACCATTATTATTACTACTACCACTAATACTGCTACTATTACTACTACCATTATTATTACTACTACCACTAATACTGCTACTATTACTACTACCATTATTATTACTACTACCACTAATACTGCTACTATTACTACTACCATTATTATTACTACTACCACTAATACTGCTACTATTACCACTACCATTATTATTACTGCTACCACTAATACCACTACTATTACTACTACTATTATTATTACTATTAATATTACTGTTACTATTTATTACTACTACTGCTACTACTACTACTACTACTACTACTACTGCTATAACTACTGCTACTATCACTACTACTACTACTACTACTACTACTACTACTACTACTACTACTGCTATAACTACTGCTACTATCACTACTACTACTACTACTACTGCTGCTGCTGCTGCTGCTGCTGCTGCTGCTACTACTACTACAGCTACCACCATCACCACCACCACTACTACTACTACTACTACTCATTCAGGTTCATGGTGTCAAGCGTTACCTCATCTCAATCCCTTTGAGAGATGCTTGCTTTCTTTTAAGATTTCGATTTCGAATTCGACATTACCGTCCGTATATTTACCGTATATCACCGTTCTCCTTCTAAGTATATATTTTCGTCATTGCAGGACAAACATTGCACTTTCAGATCATGGACATCTCCAATAATGTGCCCGAGATCCGGCTCTGGCACCAAGCTTTAGATCTTGTTTCGCACGAGATCGAAGCCGACGGTCTTATCAAGTTGATATTGAGGAGCACCAATGAGGTTTTGGCAGAGGTTCACCTCACAGGCTATATGACAGGATTGACAGATGCGGACATACAATACCGCACATTCTAAGCTAGTAGTGTTTCTACCTCCAAATGTTACACTGATTAATTGTAAACTCAAGTATGAAAAGAATAAAGAGTTGTAATCGTAAGATATGACGACTAATTCTAGACTAATTCTGCCACTCTGGGTAGTGGGGATAGCATTCTGTTAGATAAGCCATACTTAGCTCCTCGTTACTGCGCGTCTCCGATAGACCGGAAGGTATAAACCAATGATGAAAAAGTGTAGTTTGAGTCAAAGTATTGTGCTTTGTTTAATGAGAACTTCAATAAGTAAAAAAAATGACATGGAGCAAGTCACGAACGTGAATGTCACGAAAGAGAAATTTGCGCTCGTATCAGGTCGCGACGATGACGTCACGCCGCGGGTTTTCAAAATGGCGGATCATTTGAGTTTGACAAGCGACTAAATACAGGAATGGCTCCGACCTGTGATTGGATGATAAAAATAGTAAAGTTAATAACTTATATCTTAACTCCTTGCACGTGAGTATGGTCAACCGCGTGTCTCGAGGCGGAACAATGAAATATCAATGTGAAAACGCCGATGAGTCAAACAAGAAATGGCTACTTACTTAATGAAGAGAAGGCAGAGTCTAGCTTGTTCAGCGAGGTCGTTCAGCGATATTCCGGCGATGGAAAAGTCATCTGCTGACTAGCTCCGCCGACTAAATTCATTTAGTCAGTTCACGCGCACGAACAGAGACTGGAGCCATTCCTGTATTTCACCGCAGACAGGAATAGCTCCGACTCAATTTTAATAATTTTTTTTCAATAATTTTTAAATAATTTTAAACAGTTTTTGAAAAAAAAATTTTAAACTAAACTAGTGAGCAGCGCTGTGCGAACAGTAGTTTTAAAACAGATGAAGAGCCCGATGAATGGATTTGCCCTTTATGTGAACAATAACCTAGAAAATCAGTTTTCCACGAAAAAAAACTCCCTCGATTGTGGCCAAGCCATATTTCTCCAGCAGAGCATACTGTAAATTAAAAACATCGGTCGCAGCGTCACGCAACATTGCGTGATTTTCCAAACGTGAGATGCAGTTGCTGCATTATTTTAAAACTTAGGAACTACATAGCCCTGTAGTAAGAAAAGAGGGCAGTAAGAAAAGAGGGCTTCATTTGCAAGCACTGTAGACTTCAACTTAAGAAGAACCTAATAAATCGCTCTTTCGGTTTTTATCTCAGTGTATGAATTATTTAGCCAAAACGAAAAAAAAATTAACATACGCATGAGTTGGAGCCATTCCTGTCTGCGGTGAAATACACGAATGGCTCCGGTCTGGTCGTCCGCCTAAACTGTCTAAATGAGTTTTGTCAGCGGAGCTTGTCAGCGGATGACTTTTTCATCTTTATTCCTAGAGATTTTATCGATCATAGATCTTCCCTACTGAAAATGAAATGCGGTTTTCTTTCCACGTGACTTGAGAGTCAGCGAGAGGGACTTTCCCCTATTTACTTCCGCTATGCAACTTTGTAAATTTCGTTTGCAAAGTTTCGTCGGGTGAAAACGAAGTACTGACTGCATTAAGAAGGTAGCTACAGCGAGCACCACAACAATTTACGAACTAGAAAGATCGTTTAGTTGTTTTGGTAAGTGTTATGGTAGTTTAATGCTCCTCTTAATTGAAAGGATTGTTAATCTTCAGTCAAAATTGATCTGTTGTGAGCTACAGTGCCATCAAATTCTCACGATGTTTTATCTTTGAAGAGTCTTTCAGTTTTCGAGGGAGTTGCCTCGCATATAAAGTTAATGTGAACCAATGTTAAATGTGCCACACGTTCCTAAAAAGTTTCTCATGCAACCATGTAACTTATATGTTATGGAGCCAATAAAGTTATCCTTCCTAAGCCACCCTGAGCGGAACTTTTACTTAAAGAGTGAAAACGTTAAACATCGCACACCATCTGGGGTTTGCTAGGCAATGCTTTACTTTTGGGCGAAAAATTTGAGCTTCTATTTCCCTTAAGCTATCAACAGAAATCGTCAAACAATGTGTAAGGAAATTATTAAGACTTGAATCAGTTCCAAGGAAGGGAAATTGTGTGGGTGATCAAATTTCCAATGCCCCAGAATAAGATCTGATCCTTTATAGTCCTTGACTAAAGAAATAGGATATAAATGGTACTTAAAGAGATATGTATAAATATATTGGTGACAGGGTCATCTACTGTAAAACTATATGTTCTTAACAAAACATAACAGTTTAATCAGTTAGTTATTAGTTTCTGCCAAGACATTTTTCACATATGTAGGACAACATTCTTTAAAATTTTCATTCAATAAAAAAATTTCTTCATATTTCATTAAATTACATGGATCTAAAACAAAATTCATATCATCAACCTCATGCCCAATCATTTAAGCATCAATATTTCCTATTGCTTTTTGTATACTCAGATTCCTCAAGAGATATGGCTGAAACTTTAGCCCTTTTGATTGGACCAAGTTATCCAGCAGATTTGCCAACCTACTGTGGCCCCTTGCAAGGTGTAGCAAATGATCTAAAGTTGATGAAAGACATGCTCTGTGAGAATGGATTCCAACCAGAAAACATTAAGGTCTGTAGAAAGTCTCCAAATTTTTGCAGTCTGGCACTGCGTATCTTAAATTTATCCCTTCCATTGAATGTATACAGTGTCCTAAGCCTATAGGGCCAGTGTTCCAAAGTCTTCATTTGGAAACCAAAAATCAGATTTTCAGTTTCATCATTCAGTGGCCAGCAACTATTTTTGAAGACTCGTGTGACTCGTGAGGAAACAAGAAAGTACTAATATAAAAGGGCTACTTATATGGATCTAATGTAGTAGTTTATGGGGTTTTTCATTTTGCAAGATCTGGATGCAAACATAGCTGGGCAAGCTTTAAATACGTCAACAAAACAAATGTGGTGGCTCAATATGATCACAATTGTTATCTAAAAAGTTGTATTAAAACATTATAAACAATAGATTTTTATATTGATTGAATTGCAGCATGGAGTACTACAGACACTGGCATTTTGAGATTTCAAAGACTGATCGACTGTGTCAAAAATCCTATCAAAATATGCTCAAAACTCAACTTCTCAACACTGCTGTTTTAAACTTAACTTGATAACCTGGCCACTTACCTTATCATTATTATCAAAACCTTTCTATGCTTACATTTAAGGTCCTTGAAGGCCTGCTGGCATCACGGGCAAGCATCCTAGCTTCCTTAGAAGAATTGTCTGTAAGGGCACAAAAAGGTTCAGTGGTGGTTGTTTATTATTCTGGCCATGGCCATAGCTTTGATGTTGAACAAGCTGGCTATTTTGATGAAGGCTTGATTCCTGGAGACTTAACAAGAGAAATGGTAAATAATAAACACATGTAGTTCCCATTTCTTAGCGTAACTAAATTTAAATACCGTGACCATTAGATAAAAACCATTTGACATCTTGGCACAGAGATGGAAAGAAGGTGTATGTAACAAACTGATCATTGGCCTAATCTATCAAATCAAAACTCTGGTAAGTTAGGGAGTATTTCAGTAAGTATAAATTTGCAATGAAAGAGGTGCTTTTCAAGTTTTCTCCCTGGCCAACACCTTTATGGGCCACGTCACTCTGATGTAAGTGTATTAGTGTAGCTCCTTTATTTTTAACATAAGATTGTAGTAAGTCTCAACTAAGTCAACCTTTTATGTTTTTAATTTTTTTTGCAGGTTGATGAATACCACATCCTTGATACTTGTATAACAGGTGAACATTTCAATCCTCACCTGTCCAAGTTGATTAACAAGGGGGCACTTGTCAATGTTATCTTTGATTGCTGTTTTTCTGGCCGTATGTACAGAGGTAATTCAGAGGTGAAAAACACCTACACAGGCATAAAACAGGTAAACCACTGACTGTGGGGCAATACTGTAGCTCAAAAGTTTTTCTTGATTTGAAAACGTGCAAAGCAGATAAACTTCTAAATGTATTTTATACTGTAGATTAAATCAGATGATGTGAATGAACTTACATTTGTTGCATTTGTTCTGAACCAGTTTCAAATACTTTGGATCTAAAAGTAAATTTTAGTGTCACAACTGGTTTTCAGAAAACCTCAACCATTGATCATTTTAGAAAGTCCAGTTAAAGAAGAATTGTTTGTCCAAAAGCCATATATTTTTTATTTCTGCCGTAAAGAAGTATGAATCATTGTGTTTCTGGGAAAGCTCAGTCCACTTAAGTCACACAATGCATGTTTCCACCAAGGCAAATAAATAAGCATTGTAACAGAAAAGCTTTTTGGGAAATAACATTGAAGTTCTAGGCCAAGCCTCTGTTGCTTTGAAAATTGGTGTATGTTCTCCTACAAAAGTATTTTACAGTGTAAATAATAATGTTGAACTTTGAGTTTAGTCCTTACTCAAAATTCAACATTATTATTTGCAGTAACACTGAAGGAAAACAATTAGTAAAGCTTGATTACAGTTTTGGAAAATGTTATGAATTTTGGCAGAATTTCCTGTGATGGACCACATCTGTTGCATATCCTTCCCAGGATTAATGTCAATACCTGAACCCTTTCACTCCCAGATCTCATTAGTAATTCTCCTTACTGTCTGTCAACCAATTTTTATAATGTTAGTTTGGAGAATTTTGCATGGGATCAACTATTAATCCCCTAATTGACATTTTACTTCATTCTCATCACTTGCCAGCTTGATATTGTATTGATAGTGTGAGGAGAAATTCTGTCTTGGTCACTTACAGGAGTTAAGGGGTAAAGTTGCTTCATGCAACATAAGATGTGAGTTGCAGCAGTTACATAATAAACTTGTGATTAAACCTACAAGCAGACTTAAATGCAGACACTAATTGCAAGTGTTTTGAATGTCTTCTTTGCACAGCTTGCATTATCTGATGAATACATCAGTGAGTATCAAAAGGTTCTAAAAGCCAGAGGGTATCCCACGGAGCATGAAGAAGAGCACTCTCCAGTTCAGGAAACACAACTGAGTTCAACAGTTACTCAGGTAGATTTTTTAAAAATATTATTTGATTTTTCTTTTCATGTACATAGTTATGTAACAGCTTCTCCATGACAAGACTTTGAGTAGCTTTTTTGATTTTTTGATGGTTGTTGTCGGCATAATGAAACAGGTTATACTAAAGTAGGTGGTGGTCACCACTGTTGAATAACATTCAATTCATTAGGTTGATATTTTCTTCACAAGAAATGTTCCTACATCCTGCTACATACTCTTTGCACCCACTGTGAACTACACAAATGCTTCGATGTGAAAAATTTAGGAAAATACTCTTTTCTTGTTCTTCTATCTTTCCTCTTCAATCAATTGATCAATCAATCAATCAATCAACCAATCTGTCAATCAGGGTAGTATCATCACCTGAGTTAATAGCGTAATTTGGCCAACATAAAGAGTTTCGAAACTGACATTGCAAGGGTTGGCCCCTCATCATTTGCTCTGACAATCAGCTTAGAAACTCTTTACAATGCCCAATTTGCATTTCTTTATCAACTCAGTTGACAATACATAGTTACCCTGTTATGCTCTCCATGGCAGCACCAGTTTCTCTAGAACCTTACCTCTTGAGGCAGTCAATCAGTTAGTCATGCCATCTGTCACTCTTTCAATCAATTTCTAACCAATAAGTCAATCATTTCACTGATGATAACTGTTCATTTACTTTATATTCAAGACATACCAAAGAAATACCATCTACTAGTAGGTTGTGATATTGCGAAGATGTTCACTTTGTGATTATTGTTCACATAGCATCAGATGCATCTTTCTCCATTTCAGGAGACACAGCCAGCCAATCCAGCAAGTGCACCTGTGGCTCTACCCTACCCAGTCAGTGAGTTTTGGACTCCAGCTTTAAAGTCAGAAGGATGGTCACCACATGAGAATGACAATTTCATTTTCATGGGAGCCTGTGCAACAAATGAAAAAGCCTATGAGTTTATGGATCATGAACTTGGTGAAATCCATGGAATGTTTACTTCTGCACTGGTAGCAGTTATCAAAGAGTCTCCACCAGGACAAAGACTCTCCTACAATATGCTCAAAAGGTGTTAGGGTAATTCTCCTAATAACATCAAAGCTGTTGTGCAACTAACCCTTTGAAACTACACTCCCTCTTACACCTGTGAAATAACAGTTTTAAGTATCCAACAGGCAACCACAACCCCTGATAGCCTTGTTTTTTTCTTTTATCCCTTTAACCCCTAAGATTGACTAACATCTAATTTCTCCTCATAACATCAGCCCTGAATCAAGCATTAAGGTCATGAGAATAAAGGAGATGATCACCAACCTAAGAAGCTCTTGGTTGTTGAACAAATTCTCCTTGTTAGAACACTAGGAAGTGTCTAGGGAGGCTAGTATGGAGAATATGCATACTGATGTTAGGGAGTAGAGGGTCAAGGAATACATTTACCTCTTTCATGGGTGCATAGCTAGAACTACAGGAACTATGTTTAAATTTACTTTGTTTGTCATGATTAGTAATTATTTTGATTTTTATGATAGTCTTGTAAGACAAAGGATGGCTGACAAGAAGCAACATCAGACTCCACAATTTGAGGGGGGAAACATGAATTTGATTCTGTTCAGCTTTGACAAAGGTGACTTACTTGTTAATTTAACACTATGGTGTTTACAAAATAATTAGGTTGGACAGGTATTTTTGAAGGCTCAGAGGGCCTTTTGTTTATAAAGGGAGGTCTGCACCTAGCTCCCTGTATAATTTTGAAGTCCTAGACTCTTTCAGTTGCATTTTAATGCATTTTGAGGTCTATTCTGATCCATCTTCCTTTTTTGTTCCTGGATGTCATCAGTTTCATCAAATTTGAAGAGAATCACATACGTGTGAGAAGTGGAATGATGTTTGTCTGAAGGCAGTGAGTGGGTAGCCAGCTCATTCTACCTGTTAAATTAAATGGCTGCCTTTGAAGTTCTTGTTGCATTAAATTATTTTTCAACTGTTACATTAAAATCTTACCTTATTGGTGTGAGATTTACAAACCATCTTATCAAATCTTGTCATTGAAATCTATGTGACAAATTGCCAGGATTTACAAAAAAAAAAAACCCTAGGGTAAGGTTTGGAATTCCTGTGGGGTTCTAATCATAGCCTTATCTTTGAGTGCTTAATTCCTTGATGTTTCTTTCTGTTATGACCATATAATTTATTTTGTTAACTTGTGTCTGCATGTTAGAGGAAAAACACTTCCAAAAAGGTGATGTTGTATATATTTGAATGTTCTCTACAGCACCTCCACCTCCCATATCATTTGAAGTGAAGGAAGTTCATGACAAGAGAGAGTTTACATACAGAATCACACTCAATGCTGGATTTCTACAGGGTGTTGTTGAAGGAGTGTATTACATTTATGATACTAGACTGACAGATGAAAATCAAATGGAGGATTTCCGCGTGGCAACTGTTAATGTCAGTCATGAAAACATCCATGCAATTGAGTCAACTGCTGAAGTGGAAATTAACTCTATCTTTCATGAATGCAAAGTCAAAGTAAGGCTGTCTTTAGTTTTGGCTCTCAATCTTTTTTATATTAAGTTAAGTGGAATTTTCTGCCATTCCCAGCTCTCCGTATAGTTTTGCATGCATGTGAATATTTTTTATCCATAAGTGTTTTGGAAGGCAGAGGTAAGCTGTCACGTGCTCACCCTTGAACTGCTTGTTTCTCATTGGATGAGTGATTTATAGATATCACATTCTCAAAAACATTTTTATTAATATATAAATTATGTTGCACAAGAGCAGTATAATACAGCTTTCGAGGCTTGGACATTTCCCTCAAGATTTGTAATATATCAACTGCAGCAAATGGTTTGAACCAGGGGGTAACATGTGATAGTGTTATCTGATTGTCCCAGTGGGTGTAGTCCTGACAGGGTCTCATGTTGATAGTGGTGACTGTTTCTGACAAGAGTCTTCCAAGTGAGTGAGTGTGACCACACTCACCCACCCAGAGTGTGAGTGTGAGTGTGAGTGTGAGTGTGAGTGTGAGTGTCATCACACTCACCCAGATGATCACAGTACATTATCACAATATACAAACTGTTCTTCATTGGAAACAGTTGTTTGATATGTCTGTTTTACCCTACAGCTTTATGTCTGTTTTACCCTACAGCTACACTATATAACTTCCTTGTAGCTGGGGAAATTTATTATCCATAACTTGGATTATTTTTTTGATTATTTAGCCTTAACTGCAGAATGCTATTTGTGTGTTCCTTAAAATTATTTTGATTCATGGTCAGTGCCTCCTCACAGATGGTATTCAATTTGGTGTAGATCATTTGAAGCTTATTAAATTGAATGGAGAAATACACCTCAATGCAAAACATATCTCCAGTTCTTTTCATCCTTTAACTCTCAGATCAAATTTTAAATTCTCCTTACTAATTACCATACAATTCCTATAATGTTAGTTCAGAGAATTTAGTATTGCATCAACGTATTATCCCCAAATTGGTATTTTTCTTTATTCTCAATACTTATCTGGTTGATATTGTATTGATATTGTAAGGAGAAATTCTGTCTTGGTCACTCATGGGAGTTAAAGGGTTATATAATAAACTGAATTATACATGCATTTTGGTTGGGTCTTACTCATGATCTTTTGGAGAACAGACGTAAGGATGACATCACCACTGAAAACATTTGGCTTTTTTTTCACACAAAACAAATAGATTGTGTTACATGTAAGAGCATCAGTGTCACACTCGACTGCGCGTCGTGTGCCTCTTGTTTTTTTTCTTGCCACATTTTGACGTTATCTGTGATCTTTGATTGAACAGACCCACGGCAATGAACCATCTTTATGTTTATTTCACGTGGCTTGAAAAGTTTTTTTTGTTTCTATTTCAGGTGGGATACAAAGCTCGCCTGGCCAAGCTAGGAAGTATGTTCTATCCCATTTGCATCATTGCTACAGAGCTTGAAGAGAAATATATTTGGGAATTGAAACTGGCAATATTAATGGACAACCTGCAGATGTTCAGCTTAAGAGAACAAGACACACCCGAATGTGTCAAGATGGACGTGGTAACAATCGAAGAGTAATTAGCAGCAAATTTTTTAATACTTCTACGTTATTGTTTCAGACCTCTGTTTCAGGCCTCTAACACTAATTAAATTAATTTATTCGGCATTTCCCTATTTGGGATATAGACAAAATGTAAAAGGGAATGAACTTGTTGTGGCTCAAGCGGTCCCGGACAGGTTTGAGCTGACGCACTAAAGCATCGGGTTAAAATGATTAAAGGTGAACGTACATGCAATCGGAACCAAGTGTGCAGATTTTATGCTTTTGATTGATCCTTTAAGGTGGTGTAAATTGTTTAATAGTTTATTTACGTGTTTGTTTACGTGTTTGTTCGTTTTTAATTGTTTGGATCACTCACGCGCAGGAGTATATTAAAAGAGGCAATTCAGAAGTACTGTGACACTCATTTTCATACAGGAGAATCCGCTTACTTCCGCTCGTGTGGGGTGTGTTCTCCGTGTGTTGGTTTGTTTTCTTTAAGATATCGTGTTATGCAAATTCTCAAGCCTTTAACTCCCAAGATCCCTTAAGTAATTCTCCTTACTGTCTGCCGTACAGTTCTTGTGATGTTAGTTTTACGAATTTGGTATTGGATCAACTTATAATCCCCTAAGTGATATTTTTCTTTATTCTCATCACTTGTCTGCTTGATATTGTATTGATATTGTAAAGAGAAATTCTGTCTTGGTCACTCATGGGAGTTTAAAGGGTTGAACACTTCCATGAGCGAATCTTAAGTAAGAAATTTGATTCTCAGGAGAAAATGTTGGCGTGCCATTTACAAAGGAAGGATGATTGCACCGGATCAACGGGTTGAGGATGGTCACCTCATGATAAAAAATCTTTGCAAGTGTTTTCGTGTCAAGTTTGGGACCCGGCTCAGGGATCCCGATCACAACATGCTGAGGAATGTTAGCCTCAAGCTGTTCAAAGTGGAGAACGTGCCTTCCTACAAGAAAAATCTGGATAAGAAGAAGGAGTTGAAAGCTCAGGCTGTTCAAACTGCGGAAGTTTATGAAGGTAATGCCGTATAAATAGGGTGAGATGTTAGAAGGGAACATTTAAGGAAAGGTCAAAACTTTTTTTTTTCATTATTCTGAGGAATAACCGCAACAAAGGCCTCTATGATATACCTATTGACTCCCCGGCATGAGGGGGGGGGGAGATATTATCATGAAAACTTTCCCTTTATTCCCTCCCTTGTAACTGTATGGTCATGAGTAGGAGCATCTTTTGATATTCAAACTTTTTCAGTAGATTCCCTGGCAGCAAGGGGTAACGTTCCTCACTATTTTCTTCCTGGTTATTTCTTTGTTCCAGGGCACCCAGAGGATTATGTTCCAAATTTTGGAGCCCACAAAGTCGAGCTTGCACCCAACTCGGGTTTTCGTAGAAAGTACGATGTTGTAGATTCTTCAGGTGACGCGGTTGTGATTCAGATCACCAATAACGAGGAATTTCCAATTCACGTTTGTTTGATTTCCTACCAGTCCGATGGCTCCATTGTTGCCTTGTATCCGGCAGCGAAAAAGGCGAGTTATTTTTTTAGTTTGTTTTATAATTGGGCATCGTACATTGCTTTTACCGGAGAAGGGTTTTTTACATCTTCAAGACTAACATTTTTGTCGTTGCCTTATTCATCCACCCTGTAGGGTCTCACCTCTGTGCTCAGGCCTGGTGAGTCAGTAACAGAGATCAGGCGCGTTTTTCTCCAGCCTGAGACAGTCCGTCTCATGGAAGAGCCCAATGTTGAATTAACAAGACCTGACGGATGTAATGACATCATTATGTTGTATGCCACCACTGCCGAGGCTGATTATCTGCCTCTGTTCCAGACTTCTATAGAGCTCAGTCCTTATTTGAGCACTAGAGGGATTGACACACCCGACGTATGTATTACTTTCCTTAGTATAAATTAAGTCCATTTGTGAATGTACAAATTATTATTTGAACGTTTTGAGTGGAAAACTCAAACAAATGATAAGCCTTCGATTTGTGAATGTTCCCCTACATTTACAAGACTTCCTTAACTGTTCCATTCAGCTCGAAATTAGCCAAAACCAAGACTATTTTCCCTTTCTATTTATTTCTTCGAGTATTCCGTTAAGATACACTCATCTTATGAGGTTGTAGGTGTGACATGCACCAATCGATGTGGGTTTTTTACCAATCGAAGCCGGTGAAAATTGACCCGAGGTCAGCGAAAAGTCACGAACCCCTGTTTACTTAGTTACATAACATAAGTGTATCTTCATGACTTTTTCTGTGTTGTTTAAAACAGGGATTAGGACTTTTCACCGTCGCCAGATTTCGAGACGCTTTGGACTCCGAGCCTCGTAGCCGGGACGTTGCGCGCGAAGACGTGAGGTGGATTACTATAAAGCGAGAGTTCAGGGTGATATACCATCCAGAACAAACCTTTGAGAAAATCGACCCTCTCGAGGAGTAAAAGGAGCAAAGCAGGAACTAGGAATGTTGTTCTATATTCCTTTTTTGAATCTCTTCTTTTTTGTGCTGTTGTTTTTATTTTAATCTCCTAACAAAGGTTTATTCCTGACATTGACTGCAATTTAACAGATCTAAATATGAACATTTAAATTTTAAAGCATTTAAGAGGGATACGCGACCACTAATCCTTTCACGCTCTGGTGTAACTCAAGTTTTTGGAAAAAAAAAAAAAACTTTTTGTGGTTGTCTTTTCTCTAAAGTTTTTCTTTGAGAACAGTGGAGCCTTAAGAATAATATCGTTTTGCCTAAAAGTCGAAAAAAACCCGCAGAACTGCATGAGCTAATTTTGTTTTTATCAAGAGCATTAGTTTGATTTTCTCTCTGTTAGAGGAACGGTAATAAGGGTAATCCCTTTCGCAACCGTTTTTTGCTCTCGTCACGCATTGTTTTTCATTTTCATTTAAAGATAGAAAACTGACATGATACTTTAAGTTACGGCTTCATTCTCAAAGAATAGAAAGGAATTAATTTAGGTGCCCCATTATTTATTTGATGATCATGGTTGATACGTTGATAATTTGACCCCGTAAGGAATCCCTCCCCAACCCTCATGTCAATGTTGCTAAGGACAGGGGCGACAAATTAAAAATTCTAAGAGTACGGAGAATTTTGTAAAAGGGAAAGTGACTTAAAACTCTCCTACAATTCATAGAATTCGCTAGGAAAGTTTCAAAACCCATTGGTTTAATCTATACAGCTAATCTGTGACTACCTACTTCAACTTTATGTACCCTGTACCAAAGTCTTGTCTATCCCTACTTACCGCATTACGGTATGGGGCTCCACTTATCCATCAAACTTGAAACGTGTGGTCCTACTCCAGAAAAAGGTGGTACGAATTATATCAAGAAGTACCTTTAACGCTCATTCTGAACCTATATTTAAGCAGTTGAAAATTTATTCAGATTTGAGATTCTCTCCAGCTCTAAAAATCCATCTGGCTATTACTTCGACGCAGATCCAGTTTACTCTCAGTATGGCGTGTACGCCAACAAGCTGACGAGAGTCAGTGCCAAAGACCGGTACAGATTCAATTTTATCGTATCTCGCAAGAGGGGCCCTGTGATTGGCATCCGAACTCAAGGAAAAGCAGGTGAAAGGTATGAAAGTATGAGGAGTAACTGGTTGAAGTTTCATGATGGCGGCCGTGGAAGTGTTACGGGATATAAGAACCTTTATACTAGAAACTTCCCAAGCATGGAGGACACATTTACATTAGAAGCAGGTATTTGAGCAAATTTTTAGCGCTAAGTGATACGGGAACCTTCACACCAACACGAAAATATTAGAATAAGAAAGACAACCACTTGTTGAACTCAGTCGAGAAGAGGAGATTGACTTTTATTTTATTTTATTTGGGGGTGGGGGGCGGGGGAGTTACGGGCGGGAGTTACGGGCGTAGATCAAAGAAACTGTCCGAATCCTTACAAGGAATGGAACCCAGACCTTCAGATTTATGCTCCCATGCTTTACCACTGAGCTTCAGAGAACTAGATGTTGATCCAGAGCATTCCTCACCTAAATTTGTGACAAGCATTCCACACACAGTATCCCACATACAGTATCTGTATTTATTTTCGGGTTTGGGGCGACACCGACTCAAACGAAAAGCACTCTGGTATTGTGTGTTTTAACAAACCAGGCGAATGGATACTGTACTTTGAAAATCTTACAGATATAAATTATGATTTTTACCCTTTTTAGTACCCAGCGGATGCGTGACTCCTGGTGAGTATGTATTACAGATGTCAGTTATGGCCGCACCATGGCATACCATTCAAGAGGACTGTGATAGTAAACCAGATAGATGCTTTTGGTCGGATGGGTGGGATACACGAAGGCGCAATATGATGACAGCCATATGCTACTACAGCAAAGGTAGGAAAATTATCATCTAAGAGCCATCTCTATAAAGGAGAAAAATTAGATAGGCTTGAAAACTTCATCTTTAAGACTTGGTAAAATTTACCCTCCTATATAAGTTGAACATCACGCAGTTATAACCATCATCATTAGCGAAGCTCCTTTTGAGTTGTTAGCATCGAAAGCCGAATGCCGCTGTGCTTTGCTTAAACACTGAAAGCTCATTCAAGAGCTCTGAAAGCAGTTGATATTCTAAACTTGAAAAGTTCTCACAACAAACGTGTGTGTGTCAGATTGACCACACATTAACTGCTTTGCTCATTGTGTCATTTTTATTTGCTAGATTCGGTGTGTTATCAGTACAGGGGAGCCAAGATAAAGTACCTGCGCTTGTCAGCTAAACAATGTGAAGCTGAAAACCACTGCTACAATTACAAGAACAACCAATGTTACGATGTACTTTAATGATAATATTAGTGCAGAGCTGTGGAAATAAATTTAATGAATTTCCCTGAGAGTGATTATTTCTTTTCTTATTCAGCATCCCACAATGCGAACATGTATCTTTTGAGATAACAAGAACAGCTGTGTATCCCATTTTAGTGCTAATGCACAGCCAGCCCATTTTAGTGCTGATGCACAGCCAGCCCATTTCCTCGCATAATTAATCATGAAGTAATTTATCTCACATTTTTGACACACAGATCAGTCAGTCCACTAATGAGAAAAAAGATAGTTGTAATCTATTGCCTTGACTTAACTTTATCGTCAGAGCTATCAAAAATCTCTTGAACGTGATTGGCTATCAGCAATACAATTGGAGCACAAATGGAACAGTGTACCCGTCATGCTTGTGACTGGACAGTTTGATAGGACAGTTTAAAGGTCATGCTTGTGTCACTGCACAATTCACGCTACCTGCGCGTTGTTACACAGACTTCTGGGTACAGTTTCTCGAAAATGCTTAACTTTTGGGTACAGTTTTTCGTGGAAAAAGTCAACTATGTTTACAGCTATGAAAATGTCAAACGGATGAGTATTTTGGTTCTCTAATTTCTTCATAGTTTTGATTAATTAGAAACAACACTTTGTGTTGTCCCATTCGATTGGGACTCACACTCGTGAGTATCAAATCTAAATCTCAGCTGTACCCCAGTACAATGATGTGGACCTTAGCCACTTCTCCTCTAGGGACGAAGCTTCCAAGCGTGAAAGAAAGACAAGCCATTCGGATGACACTAGAGCTGGTCATTGTGAACCGGAGAGCGACCGAATCAGCATTGATGAGTTGACCCGGATAAATCCCGTACATGGGCAAGTGAGGATCGACACTGGAGCAGGGAATGATGTGTTCGTAATGAGTGGCATGGTGGGTCGCAATGAGTATACTAAAAATGACTTCCTGGTCGTTGATTTAGGAGCAGATGGTAACCTGCTGTCAATTGGAGCTACTCTCAATATTGGAGGAAAACGTGGAAGCCTCTCGTCCGGAATCTTCTTCGATAACTCTTACGGCGACGGAGATCTTTACTTCATGAAGGGGGACTGGGGATGGAGAAGAGTAGGAAATGTGAAAGGAGTAACCATCTTTAAAGGATCCAGGTATGTGACCACTTAACAGTAATGGAAGAAATAATTTTGATATTCTCAAAAGCCAGATGGGTCGGATATCCAAAACTGATGAATAAATGTTTTCATTACTGGTAATACTAGTTTCTATTGATCAAACGACCAGGGGAATCCAAGTTCTTCACTGACTCTGTTCCTGTAAACAGTTGGCTTTGAATCGTTAAAAAAAAGAGAGATTTCTCCTGACGTGCATCGCCCTTTTTTCATTTTGATTCTTTTAAATTTCGCTGAATCTAGTTTTCTCACTTACTCAACTCTAATTCTTTCTTAACATCACTCGTATTTATAATGATGAATACATAATCAATTGTTTATGTTTCATTCAGACTTCATGATGAGGTTACCATGGGAACAAAAGGACCATTCACTGTCATACAGAACGAAGGGGCCAATATATACTCTTTCAACATGTTTGACTTGGAGCATTTTCGGGAAAAAGGTAATTACAAGGGCGTAAGGGTAATTGTTTTGTTTTTGTTTTTGTGACATTAAGTAAAACACGGCGTTGAGGTCGACATGATGATCTGGTGAATACCCTCTGTTTGACACAGTGTGACCCTCCTTTGAAAAATCCTGGCTACGTCCCCGACTAAACTATGGCTTCACCTTTTAGGCTACTAGGTTAACTACCTGCTATTATTACTACCACCACTACTAGCATTACTATCTCTACTAACACTACCACTATTATTACTACTACCACTAATACTGCTACTATTACTACTACTTGTAATAGTGTAGTTTGATCGTCCGGGTGAGTGTAGACCTGAGAAGGACTGTTGTCGGTAGTGGTGACTGACGTTTTGACAACCTGAGCGGAAGTCATCATCAGAGTCAAGTGAAAGGTTGTCGTCAGTCGAATGTACTTAGTCCGGTTTGTGTACACTGATTGGTCAGTTTTGCCGTGATGTTATTGGCTAAAAGACTCAAGTGGCGTAGGTCAGTCGTGATTGGTCGGTTTGGATCCGTTAGTGAAGTTAGGTCGTTCTGTTCGTTTCGTTTGTAATGTTAATGTCGTGGATGAGTCGTTTGTATGGTGCCGGTAGTGGTTGATACCCGTTGAGGGGAGTCTGTTCCAAGTTAGTCCAGTCCTTCTCAGGACTACACTCACCCGGACGATCAAACTACACTATTACATGTTACCCCCGGGTTCAAACCATTTACTGTATTACTACTACTATTACTATTTACTACCATTACTGCTGTTACTACTACTATTACTACTTCTACTGCTATTACTACTACCATTACTACAACTACTACTACTACTACTACTACTACTACCACCACCACCACCACCACCACCACTACTACTCATTCAAGTTCATGGTGTCAGGTGTTACCTCGTCTCAATCCCTTTGAGAGATGCTTGCTTTCTTTTGAGATTTCGATTTCGAATTCGACATTACCGTCCGTATATTTACCGTATATCACCGTTCTCCTTCTAAGTATATATTTTCGTCATTGCAGGACAAACATTGCACTTTCAGATCATGGACATCTCCAATAATGTGCCCGAGATCCGGCTCTGGCATCAAGCTTTAGATCTTGTTACGCACGAGATCGAAGCCGACGGTCTTATCAAGTTGATATTGAGGAGCACCAATGAGGTTTTGGCAGAGGTACACCTCACAGGCTATATGACAGGATTGACAGATGCGGACATACAGTACCGCACATTCTAAGCCAGTAGTGTTTCCACCTCCAAATGTAATACTGATTAATTGTAAACTCAAGTATGAAAAGAATAAAGAGTTGTAATCGTAAGATATGACGACTAATGCTAGACTAATTCTGCCACATTGGGTAGTGGGGATAGCATTCTGTTAGATAAGCCATTAACTTAGCTCCTCGTTACTGCGCGTCTCCGATAGACCGAAAGGTATAAACCAATGATGAACAAGTGTTGTAGTTTGAGTCAAAGTATTGTGCTTTGTTTAATGAGAACTTCAATAAGTAAAAAAAATGACATGGAGCGAGTCACTAACGTGAATGTCACGAAAGAGAAATTTGCGCTCGTATCAGGTCGCGATGATGACGTCACGCCGCGGATTTTCAAAATGGCGGATCATTTGAGTTTGACAAGCGACTAAATACAGGAATGGCTCCGACCTGTGATTGGATGGTAAAAATAGTAAAGTTAATAACTTATATCTTAACTCCTTGCACGTGAGTATGGTCAACCGCGTGTCTCGAGGCGGAACAATGAAATATCAATGTGAAAACGCCGATGAGTCAAACAAGAAATGGCTACTTACATAATGAAGAGAAGGCAGAGTCTAGCTTGTTCAGCGAGGTCGTTCAGCGATATTCCGGCGATGGAAAAGTCATCTGCTGACTAGCTCCGCTGACTAAATTCATTTAGTCAGTTCACGCGCACGAACAGAGACTGGAGCCATTCCTGTATTTCACCGCAGACAGGAATAGCTCCGACTCAATTTTAATAATTTTTTTTCAATAATTTTCAAATAATTTTAAACAGTTTTTGAAAAAAAATTTAAAACTTAACTAGTGAGCAGGCTGTGCGAACAGTAGTTTTAAAACAGATGAAGAGCCCGATGAATGGATTTGCCCTTTATGTCAACAATAACCTAGAAAATCAGTTTTCCTCGAAAAAAAACTCCCTCGATTGTGGCTAAGCCATATTTCTCCAGCAGAGCATACATTAACTGTAAATTAAAAACATCGGTCGCAGCGTCACGCAACATTGCGTGATTTTCCAAACGTGAGATGCAGTTGCTGCATTATTTTAAAACTTAGGAACTACATAGCCCTGTAGTAATAAAAGAGGGCTTCATTTGCAAGCACTGTAGACTTCAACTTAGGAAGAACCTAATAAATCGCTCTTTCAGTTTTTATCTCAGTGTATGAATTATTTAGCCAAAACGAAAAAAAAAATTAACATACGCATGAGTTGGAGCCATTCCTGTCTGCGGTGAAATACACGAATGGCTCCGGTCTGGTCGTCCGCCTAAACTGTCTAAATGAGTTTTGTCAGCGGAGCTTGTCAGCGGATGACTTTTTCATCTTTATTCCTAGAGATTTTATCGATCATAGATCTTCCCTACTGAAAATGAAATGCGGTTTTCTTTCCACGTGACTTGAGAGTCAGCGAGAGGGACTTTCCCCTATTTACTTCCGCTATGCAACTTTGTAAATTTCGTTTGCAAAGTTTCGTCGGGTGAAAACGAAGTACTGACTACATTAAGAAGGTAGCTACAGCGAGCACCACAACAATTTACGAACTAGAAAGATCGTTTAGTTGTTTTGGTAAGTGTTATGGTAGTTTAATGCTCCTCTTAATTGAAAGGATTGTTAATCTTCAGTCAAAATTGATCTGTTGTGAGCTACAGTGCCATCAAATTCTCACGATGTTTTATCTTTGAAGAGTCTTTCAGTTTTCGAGGGAGTTGCCTCGCATATAAAGTAAATGTGAACCAATGTTAAATGTGCCACACGTTCCTAAAAAGTTTCCCATACAACCATGTAACTTATATGTTATGAAGCCAATTAAGTTATCCTTCCTAAGCCACCCTGAGCGGAACTTTTACTTAAAGAGTGAAAACGTTAAACATCGCACACCATCTGGGCTTTGCTAGGGAATGCTTTACTTTTGGGCGAAAAATTTGAGCTTCTATTTCCCTTAAGCTATCAACAGAAATCGTCAAACAATGTGTAAGGAAATTATTAAGACTTGAATCAGTTCCAAGGAAGGCAAATTGTGTGGGTGATCAAATTTCCAATGCCCCAGAATAAGATCTGATCCTTTATAGTCCTTGACTAAAGAAGGAAGAGAAATAAGGTGACAGGGTCATCTACTGTAAGCTCACATATGTAGGACAACATTCTTTAAAATTTTCATTCAATAAAATTTCTTCATATTTCATTAAATTACATGGATCTAAAACAAAATTCATATCATCAACCTCATGCCCAATCTTTTTAGCATCAATATTTCCTATTGCTTTATGTATACTCAGATTCCTCAAGAGATATGGCTGAAACTTTAGCCCTTTTGATTGGACCAAGTTATCCAGCAGATTTGCCAACCTACTGTGGCCCCTTGCAAGGTGTAGCAAATGATCTAAAGTTAATGAAAGACATGCTCTGTGAGAATGGATTCCAACCAGAAAACATTAAGGTCTGTAGAAAGTCTCCAAATTTTTGCAGTCTGGCACTGCGTATCTTAAATTTATCCCTACCATTGAATGTATACAGTGTCCTAAGCCTATATAGGGCCAGTGTTCCAAAGTCTTCATTTGGAAACCAAAAATCAGATTTTCAGTTTCATCATTCAGTGGCCAGCAACTGTTTTTGAAGACTCATGTGACATTTCAAGATTTAAAAAGAGGAAACAAGAAAGTGCTAATATAAAAGGGCTACTTATATGGATCTAATGTAGTAGTTTATGGGGTTTTTCATTTTGCAAGATCTGGATGCAAACATAGCTGGGCAAGCTTTAAATACGTCAACAAAACAAATGTGGTGGCTCAATATGATCACATAATTGTTATCTAAGAAGTTGTATTAAAACATTATAAACAATAGATTTTTATATTGATTGAATTGAGCATGGAGTCAGACTATCAAAATATCGCTGTGTCAAAACCTCAAAATATGCTTCAACTCAACACTGCTGTTTTAAACTTAACTTGATAACCTGGCCACTTACCTTATCATTATTATCAAAACCTTTCTATGCTTACATTTAAGGTCCTTGAAGGCCTGCTGGCATCACGGGCAAGCATCCTAGCTTCCTTAGAAGAATTGTCTGTAAGGGCACAAAAAGGTTCAGTGGTGGTTATTTATTATTCTGGCCATGGCCATAGCTTTGATGCTGAACAAGCTGGCTATTTTGATGAAGGCTTGATTCCTGGGGACTTAACAAGAGAAATGGTAAATAATAAACACATGTAGTTCCCATTTCTCAGTGTAACTAAATTTAAATACCGTGACCATTAGATTAAAACCATTTGACATCTTGGCACAGAGATGGAAAGAAGGTGTATGTAACAAACTGATCATTGGCCTAATCTATCAAATCAAAATTCTGGTAAGTTAGGGAGTATTTCAGTAAGTACAAATTTGCAATGAAGGAGGTGCTTTTCAAGTTTTCTCCCTGGCCAACACCTTTATGGGCCACGTCACTCTGATGTAGGTGTATTAGTGTAGCTCCTTTATTTTTAACATAGGATTGTAGTCTCAACTAAGTCAACCTTTTATGTTTTTAATTTTTTTTGCAGGTTGATGAATACCACATCCTTGATACTTGTATAACAGGTGAACATTTCAATCCTCACCTGTCCAAGTTGATTAACAAGGGGGCACTTGTCAATGTTATCTTTGATTGCTGTTTTTCTGGCCGTATGTACAGAGGTAATTCAGAGGTGAAAAACACCTACACAGGCATAAAACAGGTAAACCACTGACCGTGGGGCAATAGTCTGTAGCTCAAAAGTTTTTCTTGATTTGAAAATGTGCAAAGCAGATAAACTTCTAAATGTATTTTATACTGTAGATTAAATCAGATGATGTGAATGAACTTACATTTGTTGCATTTGTTCTGAACCAGTTTCAAATACTTTGGATCTAAAAGTAAATTTTAGTGTCACAACTGGTTTTCAGAAAACCTCAACCATTGATCATTTTAGAAAGTCCAGTTAAAGAAGAATTGTTTGTCCAAAAGCCATATATTTTTTATTTCTGCCGTAAAGAAGTATGAATCATTGTGTTTCTGGGAAAGCTCAGTCCACTTAAGTCACACAATGCATGTTTCCACCAAGGCAAATAAATTAGCATTGCAACAGAAAAGCTTTTTGGGAAATGACATTGAAGTTCTAGGCCAAGCCTCTGTTGCTTTGAAAATTGGTGTATGTTCTCCTACAAAAGTATTTTAAAGTGTTGTTAATAATAATGTTGAACTTTGAGTTAAGTCCTTACTCAAAATTCAACATTATTATTTGCGGTAACACTGAAGGAAAACAATTAGTAAAGCTTGATTACAGTTTTGGAAAATGTTATGAATTTTGGCAGAATTTCCTGTGATGGACCACATCTGTTGCATATCCTTCCCAGGATTAATGTCAATACCTGAACCCTTTCACTCCCAGATCTCATTATTAATTCTCCTTACTGTCTGTCAACCAATTTTTATAATGTTAGTTTGGAGAATTTTGTATGGGATCAACTATTAATCCCCTAATTGACATTTTACTTCATTCTTATCACTTGCCAGCTTGATATTGTATTGATAGTGTAAGGAGAAATTCTGTCTTGGTCACTTACAGGAGTTAAGGGGTAAAGTTGCTTCATGCAACGTAAGATGTAAGTTGCAGCAGTTACATAATAAACTTGTGATTAAACCTACAAGCAGACTTAAATGCAGACACTAATTGCAAGTGTTTTGAATGTCTTCTTTGCACAGCTTGCATTGTCTGATGAATACATCAGTGAGTATCAAAAGGTTCTAAAAGCCAGAGGGTATCCCACGGAGCATGAAGAAGAGCACTTTCCAGTTCAGGAAACACAACTGAGTTCAACAGTTACTCAGGTAGATTTTTTAAAAATATTATTTGATTTTTCTTTTCATGTACATAGTTATGTAAGAGCTTTTCCATGACAAGACTTTGAGTGGCTTTTTTGATTTTTTGATGGTTGTTGTCTGCATAATGAAACAGGTTATACTAAAGTAGGTCAGGTGGTCACCACTGTTGAATAACATTCAATTCCATAGGTTAATATATATTTCCTTCACAAGAAATGTTCCTACATCCTGCTACATACTCTTTGCACCCACTGTGAACTACACAAATGCTTTGATGTGAAAAATTTAGGAAAATACTCTTTTCTTGTTCTTCTATCTTTCCTCTTCAATCAATTGATCAATCAATCAGTCAATCAATCATTGACAATCAATCAACCAATCTGTCAATCAGGGTAGTATCATCACCTGAGTTAATAGCATAATTTGGCCAACATAAAGAGTTTCGAAACTGACATTGCAAGGGTTGGCCCCTCATCATTTGCTCTGACAATCGATCAGCTTAGAAACTCTTTACAATAGCCAATTTGCATTTCTTTATCAACTCAGTTGACAATACTTAGTTACCCTGTTATGCTCTCCATGGCAGCACCACAGTTTCTCCAGAACCTTACCCTCTTGAGGCAGTCAATCAGTTAGTCATGCCATCTGTCACTCTTTCAATCAATTTCTCACCAATAAGTCAATCATTTCACTGATGATAACTGTTCATTTACTTTATATTCAAGACATACCAAAGAAATACCATCTACTAGTAGGTTGTGATATTGCGAAGATGTTCACTTTGTGATTATTGTTCACATAGCATCAGATGCATCTTTCTCCATTTCAGGAGACACAGCCAGCCAATCCAGCAAGTGCACCTGTGGCTCTACCCTACCCAGTCAGTGAGTTTTGGACTCCAGCTTTAAAGTCAGAAGGATGGTCACCACATGAAAATGACAATTTCATTTTCATGGGAGCCTGTGCAACAAATGAAAGAGCCTATGAGTATACGGATCCTGAAACTCATGAAACCCATGGAGTCTTTACTTCTGCACTGGTAGCAGCTATCAAAGAGTTTCCACCAGGACAAAGACTCTCCTACAATATGCTCAAAAGGTGTTAAGGGTAATTCTCCTAATAACGTCAAAGCTGAAATAACTTTTAAGTCTCTGACAGACAACCACAACCCCTGATAGCCTTGTTTTTTTCTTTTATCCCTTTAACCCCTAAGATTGACTAACATCTAATTTCTCCTCATAACATCAGCCCTGAATCAAGCATTAAGGTCATGAGAATAAAGGAGATGATCACCAACCTAAGAAGCTCTTGGTTGTTGAACAAATTCTCCTTGTTAGAACACTAGGAAGTGTCTAGGGAGGCTAGTATGGAGAATATGCATACTGATGTTAGGGAGTAGAGGGTCAAGGAATACATTTACCTCTTTCATGGGTGCATAGCTAGAACTACAGGAACTATGTTTAAATTTACTTTGTTTGTCATGATTAGTAATTATTTTGATTTTTATGATAGTCTTGTAAGACAAAGGATGGCTGACAAGAAGCAACGTCAGACTCCGCAATTTGAGGGGGGAAACATGAATTTGATTCTGTTCAGCTTTGACAAAGGTGACTTACTTGTTAATTTAACACTATGGTGTTTACAAAATAATTAGGTTGGACAGGTATTTTTGAAGGCTCAGAGGGCCTTTTGTTTATAAAGGGAGGTCTGCACCTAGCTCCCTGTATAATTTTGAAGTCCTAGACTCTTTCAGTTGCATTTTAATGCATTTTGAGGTCTATTCTGATCCATCTTCCTTTTTTGTTCCTGGATGTCATCAGTTTCATCAAATTTGAAGAGAATCACATATGTGTGAGAAGTGGAATGATGTTTGTCTGAAGGCAGTGAGTGGGTAGCCAGCTGATCATTCTACCTGTTAAATTAAATGGCTGCCTTTGAAGTTCTTGTTGCATTAAATTATTTTTCAACTGTTACATCAAAATCTTACCTTATTGGTGTGAGATTTACAAACCATCCTATCAAATCTTGTCATTGAAATCTATGTGACAAATTGCCAGGATTTACAAAAAAAAAAACCCTAGGGTAAGGTTTGGAATTCCTGTGGGGTTCTAATCATAGCCTTATCTTTAAGTGCTTAATGTCTTCATGTTTCTTTCTGTTATGACCATATAATTTATTTTGTTAACTTGTGACTGCATGTTAGAGGAAAAACACTTCCAAAAAGGTGATGTTGTATATATTTGAATGTTCTCTACAGCACCTCCGCCTCCCATATCATTTGAAGTGAAGGAAGTTCATGACAAGAGAGAGTTTACATACAGAATCACACTCAATGCTGGATTTCTACAGGGTGTTGTTGAAGGAGTGTATTACATTTTTGATACTAGACTGACAGATGAAAATCAAATGGAGGATTTCCGCGTGGCAACCGTTAATGTCAGTCATGAAAACATCCATGCAATTGAGTCAACTGCTGAAGTGGAAATTAACTCTATCTTTCATGAATGCAAAGTCAAAGTAAGGCTGTCTTTAGTTTTAATGGCTCTCAATCTTTTTTATATTAAGTTAAGTGGAATTTTCTGCCATTCCCAGCTCTCCGTATAGTTTTGCATGCATGTGAATATTTTTTATCCATAAGTGTTTTGGAAGGCAGGGGTAAGCTGTCACGTGCTCACCCTTGAACTGCTTGTTTCTCATTGGATGAGTGATTTATAGATATCACATTCTCAAAAACATTTTTTATTAATATATAAATTATGTTGCACAAGAGCAGTATAATACAGCTTTCAAGGCTTGGACATTTCCCTCAAGATTTGTAATATATCAACTGCAGCAAATGGTTTGAACCAGGGGGTAACATGTGATAGTGTTATCTGATTGTCCCAGTGGGTGTAGTCCTGACAGGGTCTCATGTTGATAGTGGTGACTGTTTCTGACAAGAGTCTTCCAAGTGAGTGAGTGTGACCACACTCACCCACCCAGAGTGTGAGTGTGTGTGTGAGTGTGAGTGTGAGTGTGAGTGTGAGTGTGAGTGTGAGTGTGAGTGTCCTCACACTCACCCAGATGATCACAGTACATTATCACAATATACAAACTGTTGTTCATTAGAAACAGTTGTTTGTTGGTTTTTTTTTCCCACCCTCTTGCAGGTGTATCCATTGTTTAGTGTTCATACCACACATAGGTTTGACATTCCTATTTCAATTGTCACCAATGGGTGGGTTATGTCTGTTTTACCCTACAGCTACACTATATAACTTCCTTGTAGCTGGGGAAATTTATTATCCATAACTTGGATTATTTTTTTGATTATTTAGCCTTAACTGCAGAATGCTATTTGTGTGTTCCTTAAAATTATTTTGATTCATGGTCAGTGCCTCCTCACAAATGGTATTCAATTTGGTGTAGATCATTTGAAGCTTATTAAATTGAATGGAGAAATACACCTCAATGCAAAACATATCTCCAGTTCTTTTCATCCTTTAACTCTCAGATCAAATTTTAAATTCTCCTTACTAATTACCATACAATTCCTATAATGTTAGTTCAGAGAATTTAGTATTGCATCAACGTATTATCCCCAAATTGGTATTTTTCTTTATTCTCAATACTTATCTGGTTGATATTGTATTGATATTGTAAGGAGAAATTCTGTCTTGGTCACTCATGGGAGTTAAAGGGTTATATAATAAACTGAATTATACATGCATTTTGGTTGGGTCTTACTCATGATCTTTTGGAGAACAGACGTAAGGATGACATCACCACTGACAACATTTGGCTTTTTTTTTTCACACAAAACAAATAGATTGTGTTACATGTAAGAGCATCAGTGTCACACTCGACTGCGCGTCGTGTGCCTCTTCTTTTTGTTCTTGCCACATTTTGACGTTATCTGTGATCTTTGATTGAACAGACCCACGGCAACGTAGCATCTTTATGTTTATTTCACGTGGCTTGAAAAGTTTTTTTTGTTTCTATTTCAGGTGGGATACAAAGCTCGCCTGGCCAAGCTAGGAAGTATGTTCTATCCCATTTGCATCATTGCTACAGAGCTTGAAGAGAAATATATTCGCGAATTGAAACAGGCAATATTATTGGACAGCCTGCAGATGTTCAGCTTAAGAGAACAAGAAACACCCGAATGTGTCAAGATGGACGTGGTAACAATCGAAAAGTAATTAGCAGCAAATTTTTTAATACTTCTACGTTATTGTTTCAGACCTCTGTTTCAGGCCTCTAACACTAATTAAATTAATTTATTCGGCATTTCCCTATTTGGGATATAGACAAAATGTAAAAGGGAATGAACTCGTTATGGCTCAAGCGGTCCCGGACAGGTTTGAGCTGACGCACTAAAGCATCGGGTTAAAATGATTAAAGGTGAACGTACATGCAATCGGAACCAAGTGTGCAGATTTTATGCTTTTGATTGATCCTTTAAGGTGGTGTAAATTGTTTAATAGTTTATTTACGTGTTTGTTTACGTGTTTGTTCGTTTTTAATTGTTTGGATCACTCACGCGCAGGAGTATATTAAAAGAGGCAATTCAGAAGTACTGTGACACTCATTTTCATACAGGAGAATCCGCTTACTTCCGCTCGTGTGGGGTGTGTTCTCCGTGTGTTGGTTTGTTTTCTTTAAGATATCGTGTTATGCAAATTCTCAAGCCTTTAATTCCCAAGATCCCTTTAGTAATTCTCCTTACTGTCTGCCGTACAGTTCTTGTGATGTTAGTTTTACGAATTTGGTATTGGATCAACTTATAATCCCCTAATTGATATTTTTCTTTATTCTCATCACTTGTCTGCTTGATATTGTATTGATATTGTAAAGAGAAATTCTGTCTTGGTCACTCATGGGAGTTTAAAGGGTTGAACACTTCCATGAGCGAATCTTAAGTAAGAAATTTGATTCTCAGGAAAAAATGTTGGCGTGCCATTTACAAAGGAAGGATGATTGCACCGGATCAACGGGTTGAGGATGGTCACCTCATGATAAAAAATCTTTCCAAGTATTTTCGTGTCAAGTTTGGGACCCGGCTCAGGGATCCCGATCACAACATGCTGAGGAATGTTAGCCTCAAGCTGTTCAAAGTGGAGAACGTGCCTTCCTACAAGAAAAATCTGACTAAGAAGAAGGAGTTGAAAGCTCAGGCTGTTCAAACCGCAGAAGTTTATGAAGGTAATGCCGTATAAATAGGGTGAGATGTTAGAAGGGAACATTTAAGGAAAGTTCAAAACTTTTTTTTTCATTATTCTGAGGAATAACTGCAACAAAGGCCTCTATGATATACCTATTGACTCCCCGGCATGAGGGGGGGGGGAGATATTATCATGAAAACTTTCCCTTTATTCCCTCCCTTGTAACTGTATGGTCATGAGTAGGAGCATCTTTTGATATTCAAACTTTTTCAGTAGATTCCCTGGCAGCAAGGGGTAACGTTCCTCACTATTTTCTTCCTGGTTATTTCTTTGTTCCAGGGCACCCAGAGGATTATGTTCCAAATTTTGGAGCCCACAAAGTCGAGCTTGCACCCAACTCGGGTTTTCGTAAAAGGTACGAGGTTGTAGATTCTTCAGGTGACGCGGTTGTGATTCAGATCACCAATAACGAGGAATTTCAAATTCACGTTTGTTTGATTTCCTACCAGTCCGATGGCTCCATTGTTGCCTTGTATCCGGCAGCGAAAAAGGCGAGTTATTTTTTTAGTTTGTTTTATAATTGGGCATCGTACATTGCTTTTACCGGAGAAGGGTTTTTTACATCTTCAAGACTAACATTTTTGTCGTTGCCTTATTCATCCACCCTGTAGGGTCTCACCTCTGTGCTCAGGCCTGGTGAGTCAGTAACAGAGATCAGGCGCGTTTTTCTCCAGCCTGAGACAGTCCGTCTCATGGAAGAGCCCAATGTTGAATTAACAAGACCTGACGGATGTAATGACATCATTATGTTGTATGCCACCACTGCCGAGGCTGATTATCTGCCTCTGTTCCAGACTTCTATAGAGCTCAGTCCTTATTTGAGCACTAGAGGGATTGACACACCCGACGTATGTATCACTTTCCTTAGTATAAATTAAGTCCATTTATGAATGTACAAATTATTATTTGAACATTTTGGGTGGAAAACTCAAACAAATGATAAGCCTTCGATTTGTGAATGTTCCCCTACATTTACAAGACTTCCTTAACTGTTCCATTCAGCTCGAAATTAGCCAAAACCAAGACTATTTTCCCTTTCTATTTATTTCTTCGAGTATTCCGTTAAGATACACTCATCTTATGAGGTTGTAGGTGTGACATGCACCAATCGATGTGGGTTTTTTACCAATCGAAGCCGGTGAAAATTGACCCGAGGTCAGCGAAAAGTCACGAACCCCTGTTTACTTAGTTACATAACATAAGTGTATCTTCATGACTTTTTCTGTGTTGTTTAAAACAGGGATTAGGACTTTTCACCGTCGCCAGATTTCGAGACGCTTTGGACTCCGAGCCTCGTAGCCGGGACGTTGCGCGCGAAGACGTGAGGTGGATTACTATAAAGCGAGAGTTCAGGGTGATATACCATCCAGAACAAATCTTTGATAAAATCGACCCTCTCGAGGAGTAAAAGGAGCAAAGCAGGAACTAGGAATATTGTTCTATATTCCTTTTTTGCATCTCTTCTTTTTTGTGCTGTTGTTTTTATTTTAATCTCCTAACAAAGGTTTATTCCTGAGGATGACTGCAATTTAACAGATGTAAATATGAACATTTAAATTTTAAAGCATTTAAGAGGGATACACGACCACTAATCCTTTCACGCTCTGGTGTAACTCAAGATCTTGGAAAAAAAAAACTTTTTGTGATTGTCTTTTCTCTAAAGTTTTTCTTTGAGAACAGTGGAGCCTTAAGAATAATATCGTTTCGCCTAAAAGTCGAAAAAAACCCGCAGAACTGCATGAGCTAATTTTGTTTTTATCAAGAGCATTAGTTTGATTTTCTCTCTGTTAGAGGAACGGTAATAAGGGTAATCCCTTTCGCAACCGTTTTTTGCTCTCGTCACGCAGTGCGCTCTCTCTAACGGGGAATAGATGGCGTTGTGTGACGAGAACAAACAACTGCTGCGAAGAAGACAACAGTAAGTGTGGCACTGATGCATTTTATTTTTGCTTAGAATTATTTAGACAATAGAGAAAGTAGACCACAAAATATTTGTGTGAGTTCAGATAAATTTTTTTTTTTTTCTTAAGGTGAAGTAATGCGATATTTTCATCCGTTTGAAAGGTACGCTCTTTTTCTGTTATGAAAATGAAAACATTAGGTACACAAAGTGTCCCATCTCAACCCGCTCAGCCGATAGAATAATTAATGCATGCTACACATGCCTATGATTTTAAATGACAAAGAGGTGCTTTTTGAATAGTACTGCTGCAGGATGTAAAGTCTAATGGTTTTGAAAGATACCCTTGTTTGCCTCCTTCAAGTAGACTACAAGACAAGTTAAAGATTATGGGTCATTTTTTCTGGACCCTGGTGAAGGGTAGGGGGTTGGGAAGAGGTTATAACACTGTCGTGAAGACGAATGGGTGGGTCACGGGAGAACAATGTATAATACCTATCTTAAAAAATAAATGTTACTATGAGTGCTGTTCTTTCAAACTGACCTTAAAAACCAAACATCACTCATTGACTTTTCCCAGGATTGTTTTTCATTTTCATTTAAAGATAGAAAACTGACATGATACTTCATTCTCTAAGAATAGAAAGGAATTAATTTAGGTGCCCCATTATTTATTTGATGATCATGGTTGATACGTTGATAATTTGACCCAGTAAGGAATCCCTCCCCAACCCTCATGTCAATGTTGTTAAGGACAGGGGCGACAAATTAAAAATTCTAAGAGTACGGAGAATTTTGTAAAAGGGAAAGTGACTTAAAACTCTCCTACAATTCATAGAATTCGCTAGGAAAGTTGCAAAACCCATTGGTTTAATCTATACAGCTAATCTGTGACTACCTACTTCAACTTTATGTACCCTGTACCATAGTCTTGTCTATCCCTACTTACTGCATTACGGTATGGGGCTCCACTTATCCATCAAACTTGAAACGTGTGGTCCTACTCCAGAAAAAGGTGGTACGAATTATATCAAGAAGTACCTTTAACGCTCATTCTGAACCTATATTTAAGCAGTTGAAAATTTTTAATCTATGTAATGTGTATCGATTTCAAATATGAAAGATCGTGTTTTGTTCAAGATAGGCCGTCTTCCTAATACTCTTAAAAGATTATTTTCGTTATCGAGTAGCCATCATTGCTATTGCATCAGACAATGCAATTACTTTTACATATTCCTTGCAGAACAAATATCAAAAAGTTTGCGTTATGTTTTCAAGGACCTAAATTTTTCAATTCTCTGAATATAGAAATCCAAAATGTTGGCACATTTTCCCTGTTTAAGTATAGGAAATGTAAAGAGAACAGTGCGAAGAGTATGGTTACTAATGTAAAAGGTTCTCGAGTTATTGCGCTACATTTAGGTCTTAGAGGGGGATTTCGCAATACCCCTGATAGTAAACAAAATAACACAAATATCCCAAGCGAAACAAAACTACCTTTAATTATACACGTTTCGCTATATAAATACAAAAATAAACAATATGATATACCTCTTTCCCCATTCTATTATTCAAGTATTTCGACAATCCTACGATCTGGCTATGCTTGCGACTAACACGTGTCTCGTGGCCGAATGAAACATTATGCCGACAGTTCGAAAGTTAATGTCACACTAAACATAAGGATATTGAAAGTCTCGCAAATCACAACTAAAAATAGCCTTCGTTACAGTTTCCACCTCGAAATGTAATACTGATTAATTGTGAACTAAAGTATGAAAAAAACAAAGAGTTGTAATCATAAGGAGGATGGCATAGTTAAGCTTTATAAGTGAAAAGCTCCTCGTTACTCCGAGTCCCCGATCGACCAAAAAGTATAAACCAATGATGAGTAAGTGTTGTAGTTTGAGTCAAAGTATTGTGCCTTGTTTAATGGGAACTTCACTGAAGGAAAATGACATGGAGCGAGTAACGAAAATGGATGGCACGAAAGAGAAATTTGCGCTCGTACCAGGATCGCGATGATGACGTCACGCCGGATGAAAAATCCCGCGAAATAGGGATCTGGGATTTTCATAATGGCGGATCATTCGAGTTTGTAAAAACAATTGTGTATAACTGTGCACATTCCAGGACGATTTTAGCATCATCGCATACAGATTAATGGCTTGGATAACACGAATGTTTTATTCCTGGAGATTTTATCGATCATGGGTCTCCCCTACTAGAAATGAAATGCAGTTTTCTATCCACGTGACTGAGAGCCAGTGAGAAGGGGTTTCCCTGATTTACTTCCGACATACACCTTTGCAAATTTTAGTTTCGTCAGGTGAACGCGAAGCACTGACTGCATTACGAAGGTAGCTACAGCACGCACCACAACAATTGACTAACCAGGAAGATTATTCAGTTGTTTTGGTAAGTTTTATGGCAGTTTGCTTCTCTTAATTTAAAGGTTTGTTTAGCTTCAGTCAACATTGATCTGTTGTGAGCGTTGTGAGCTCAAATTCTCTCGATGTTTTATCTTTCAAGAATATTTCAGTTTTCAGGGGAGTTGCCTCGCATATAAACTAAATGAGAATTGCCATACATTCCTTAAAAAAGTTTCCCAACCATGTAACTTACATGTTATGCAGCCAGTCAAGTTATCGTTGCTAAGCCACCTTGTGGGTAACTTTTACTTAGGTGGTGAAAACCCTAAACCTCACACACCGTGTGAGGTTTGCTAAGCAATGCTTCACTTTTGGTCGAAAAATTTGAGCTTCTAATTTCCCTATCCCCAGCTGCAATCGTCAAACAATGTGTAAGGAAATTATTAAGACTTAAATCAGTTCAAGGGAAGGGAAGTTGTGTAGGTGATCAGGTGCAATCCCTTAATGACCTCTGACTTCACACAGAAGAGCTCTGAGACATGTTTTCGACAGTTATCTTCAAGAAAAGTGTGGAAATCTTTGTATCATTTTCTGAAAATTTTCAACGTCTCAGAATAAGATCTGATCCTGTATAAAACAGTCTGGCTCTCTTATGATATAATTGTACTTCCTTGATTCAAAGAAGGAATAGCAAAGGCTCACTCATGTAGGACAACATTCTTTAAAATTTTCATTTGATAAAATTTCTTCATATTTCATTAAATTACATGGATCTAAAACAAAATTCATATCATCGACCTCATGCTCAATCATTTTAGTGTCAACATTTCCTTTTGCTTTTTGTATATTCAGATTTCTAAAGAGATATGGCTGAAACTTTAGCCCTTTTGATTGGACCAAGTTATCCAGAAGATTTGCCAACCTACTGTGGCCCCCTGCAAGGTGTAGCAAATGATCTGCAGTTGATGAAAGACATGCTCTGTGAGAATGGATTCCAATCAGAAAACATTAAGGTCTGTAGAAAGTTTCAAAGTCTGGCACTGCATATCTTAAATTTATCCCTACCATTGAAAGTATACAGTGCTTCAAGCCTTAAAGGCAGGTTTTTTAAAGTCTCCATTTGGAAACTAAAAATCAGATTTGAAATTTCAGTTTTCAGTGGCCAGCAGCTGTTTTTGAAGGCTCACGTGACATTTCGATATTTAAAAAGGGAAACAAGAAAGTACCAATATAAAGGGGCAACTATGGTTCTAAAGTAGCTAGTTTATCAGGTTTTTTTATAGTGCAAGATCTGGATGTAAACATAGCTGGGCAACCTTTAAACATGTCAACAGGCAAAACAAAAGTGGTGGATCGATACAGTTGTGCAATTGTTATCTAAAAAGTTGTATTAAAACAGTATAAAACAATAGATTTTTTTGCAGTTATTGGACTCTAAGTAGACTCTTATCGTTGCAGCTTGGAGCATTGCAGACACTGGTATTTGGAGATTTCAAAGAGTGATTTAGTCTTTAAAAATCCCATCAAAATATGCTCAAAACTCAATCTCTCAACACTGCTGTTTTAAAGTTAACTTAGTAACCTGGCCGCTAATCTTGTCATAATTCATCAATATGTTTCTGTGCTTACATTTAAGGTCCTGGAAGGCCTTTTGGCATCACGAGAGAGCATCCTAGCTTCCTTAGAAGAATTGTCTGCAAAGGCACAAAAAGGTTCAGTGGTGGTTGTTTATTATTCTGGCCATGGCTGTAGCTTTGATGCTGAAAAAGCTGGCTATTTTGATGAAGGCTTGATTTCTGGGGACTTAACAAAAGAAATGGTAAATAATAAACACATGTAGTTCCCATTTCTCAGCGTAACTAAATTTAAATACTGTGACCATTAGATAAAAACCATTTGACATCTTGGCACAGAGATGGAAAGAAGGTGTATGTAACAAACTGATCATTGGCCTAATCTATCAAATCAAAACTCTGGTAAGTTAGGGAGTATTTAAGTAAGTATTAATTTGCAATCAAGGAGGTGCTTTTCAAGTTTTCTTTGTGGCCAATACCTTCACAAGTCACAATGCTTAACTAGTGGTAGAAAGTGCAGTCAATTGCCTTTACTCAATAGCAATTATGATAATGGTTTTCTGACAAAGCAAGCTGCTAGGTGAAGATGCTGAGTGGGTGGACATTAATCCATGGAAACACTGCAAGAAATGTCTCACTCAGCTTGAAAAAGTCAGTGAATTGCTCAGTGTGGTTAGTAATCAACTAAAGGGTTCAAAATAACAGTCCAGGGTGAAGAAACTTGAATTGCAGTGCATGGAATTGTTTAATATTCACTACATGTAGCAAGGTGGCATTTCCAATGACTTAAGAGGAACTGTGTCAGTTGCATTCATTCATCTTAACTCTTTTAACTGTAATTTTTCCAATCATTTGTTTCCAGTCTGTGTCAATTTTCCTCATCCTTGACTGAATCCCTGTGTCTCTCGAGTTGACTCTCCCATAGCTTACCATTTTCAATGACGAAAAACCTTTACAATATTAGTCAAGAATATAATCGATGTTTTGTAGAAAACTATTCATGTCACTCGGATGAAAGTGTATTAGTGTAACTCCTTTATTTTTAACATAAGATTGTGGTAAGTCTCAACTAAGTCAACCTTTTATGTTTTTAATTTTTTTGTGCAGGTTGATGACTACCACATCCTTGATACTTGTATAACAGGTGAACATTTCAAGCCTCACCTGTCCAAGTTGATTAACAAGGGGGCACTTGTCAATGTTATCTTTGATTGCTGTTTTTCTGGCCGTATCTACAGAGGTTATCCAGACACAAAACACAACAACACAGGCATAAAACAGGTAAACCACTGACTATGGAGCAATACTGTAGCCAAAAAGTTATTCTTGATTTGAAAATGTGCAAAGTAGATAAATTTCTATATAGCTATGTATTTTAATCTGTAGAATAAATCAGATGATGTGAATGAACTTACATTTGTTGCATTTGTACTGACCCAGTTTCAGTACTTTGGATCTAAAAGAAAAGTGTTACAACTGGTTTTAAAAAAAACCTCAACCATTGATTAAGTTAAAGGAGAAGTATTTGTCCAAAAGCCATATAATTATTATTTCTGTCACTAAAAGTATGGATCATTGTGTTCCTGGGAAAGCTCAGTCCACTTAAGTCTCACAAATTATGCATGTTTCCACCAAGGCAAATAGGTAAGTATTGCAACACGAAAGTTTTTTTGGGAAATAATGTTGAAGTTCTAGGCAAAGCCTCTGTCACTTTGATAACTGGTTTATGTTGTTGTACAAAAGTATTTTACAGTGTAAATAATAGTGTTGAACTTTAAGCCTAGTCCTTACTCAAAATTTAACATTATTATTTGAAGTAACACTGAAGGAAAACAAGTAAAGCCTGATTACAGTTTTGGAAAATGATATGAATTTTCTTGGCAGAATTTCCTGTGATGGACCACAGCTGCTGCATATCCTTCCCAGGAGTAATGTCAATAACTGAACCCTTTCACTCCAAGATCTCATTAGCAATTCTCCTTACTGTCTGCCAACCAATTCTGATGATCTTAGTTCAGAGAATTTGGTATTGGATCAACTAATAATCCCCTAATTGACATTTTACTTTATTCTCATCACTTGTCTGCTCGATATTGTATTGATAGTGTAAGGAGAAATTCTCTCTTCGTCAATTATGGAAGTTAAGGGGTTAAAGTTGCTTCAGGCAACAGAAAGTAAGATGTAAGTTGCAGCAGTTATATAATGTACTTGTGGTTAAACCTACAAGCAGACTTAAATGCAAACACTAATTGCAAGTGTTTTGAATCGCTTCTTTGCACAGCTTGCATTTTCTGATGAATACATCAGTGAGTATCGCAAGGCTCTAGAAGCCAGAGGGAAACCCACCAAGAAAACACAACCGGGTTCAGCAGCTGCGCGCGCCAAGGTAGGTTTTCTTTTTTTAATTTATTTTTCTTTTCATGTATGTACGTAACAGCTTTTCCATGACAAGACTTTGAGTAGCTTTTTTGATTCTTTGGTGGTTGTTGTTTGCATAATCAAACAGGTTATACTAAAGTAGGTGATGGTTGCCATTGTAGAATAACATTCAATTCATAAGGTTGATATTTTCTTCTCACTTGATGTTGCTACATCTTGCTACATACTTTTTGGACCCACCATGAATTACACAAATGCTCTGATGTGACAAATTTTGGAAAATACTCTTTCTTCTTCAATCAATCGATCAGTCAATCAATCAATCAATCAATCAATCAATCAGTTAATCAGGGTAATTTAGTATTATCAACTGAGTTGATAGCGTAATTTGGCCAACATGAAGAATTTCGAAACTAATGTTTCAAGCATTGACCCTTCGTCATTCACTCTGACAAATAGGGCTATAGCACTCAAAACATCAGCTTAGAAACTCTATACAATGGCCAATTTACATTCATTTATCAGCTCAGTTGACAATACTAAATTACCCTATTATTCTCTCCCACCATGGCAGCATCACAGTTTCTTTAGAAACTTACCCCCTTGATCAGTCAATCAGGCTGTCACTCAGTTAGTCTCTCAGTCTGTCACCCTCTTTTAAATCAATTTCTATAACCAATAAGTCAATCATTTCACTGATGATAACTGTTCATTTACTTTATATTCAAGACATACCAAAGAAGTACCATCTACTAGTAGGTTTTGATGTTGCAGAGATGTTCACTTAGTGATTTTTGTTCACATTAGCATCAGATGCGTCTTCCTCCATTTGAAGAGATGCAGCCAGCCTATCCAGCAAGAGCACGTAAAGCTCAACACCAGGGCGTCAGTGAGTTTTGGACTCCAGTTTTGAAGTCAGAAGGATGGTCACCACAGCAAAGTGACAACTTCGTTTTCATGGGAGCCTGTGCAACAAATGAAAGAGCCTATGAGTTTAAGGATCCTGAAACTGGTGAAGCCCATGGAGTCTTTACTTCTGCACTGGTAGCAGCTATCAAAGAGTCTCCACCAGAACAAAGACTCTCCTACAATATGCTTAAAAGGTGTTCAGGTTATTCTCCTAATAACATCAAAGCTGTTGTGCAACTAACCCTTTGAAACTACACTCCCTCTTACACCTGTCAAATAACTTTTAAGTCTCCAACAGGCAACCACAATTAACCCCTGATAGCCTTGTTGTTTTCTTTTATCCCTTTAACCCCTAAGATTGACTAACATCTAATTTCTCATCATAACATCACCCCTGAATCAAGCATTAAGGTCATGAGAATAAAGGAGATGATCACCAACCTAAGAAGCTCTTGGTTGTTGAACAAATTCTCCTTGTTAGAACACTAGGAGTGTCTAGGGAGGCTAGTACGGAGAATATGCATACTGATGTTAGGGAGTAGAGGGTCAAGGAAGTCATTTACCTCTTTCATGGGTGCATAGCTACAACTACAGGAACTATGTTTAATTTATTTTATCATGATTAATAATTATTTTGATTTTTATGACAGCCTTGTAAGACGAAAGCTGGCAGATAACAATCAGCAATGTCAGACTCCACAATTTGAGGGGGGAAACATGGATTTGATACTGTTCAGTTTTGACAAAGGTGACTTACCTGTTAATTTAACACAATGGTGTTTACAAAATAAGGTTGCTTTAAGATTAGACAGGTATTTTGAAGGCTCAGAGGGCCTTTTGTTTATAGAGGGAGGTCTGCACCTAGCTCCCTGTATAATTTTGAAGTCCTAGACTCTTTCAGTTGCATTTTATTGCATTTTGAGGTCTATTCTAATCCATCTTCCTTTTTTGTTCCTGGATGTCATCAGTTTCATCAAATTTGAAGGGAATCACATATGTGTGAGAAGTGGAATGATGTTTTTTGAAGGCAGCAAGTGGTTAGCCAGCTCATTCTACCTGTTAAATTAAATGGCTGCCTTTGAAGTCCCTGTTGAATTAAGTTATTTTTCAACTGTTACATGAAAATGTTACCTTGTTGGTGTGAGGTTTACAAACCATCTTATCAAATCTTGTCATAGAAACCTATGTAACAAATTGGCATGATTTCTAAAAACCCAGTGGTAAAGTCTGGGATTCCAATGGGGTTCTTCATAGTCTTGCCTTTAAGTAATTAATGTCTTCATGTTTCTTTCTGTTATGACCATAGAATTTATTTTGTAAACTTGTGACTGCATGTTAGAGGAAAAACACTTCCAAAAAGCTGATGCTGTATATCTTTGAATTGTTTTCTACAGCACCTCCACCTCCCAAATCATACAAAGTGAAGGACATTCACGTAAAGGAAGGGTTTACGTCCAGAATCACACTTGATGCTGGATTTCTACAGGGTGTTGTTGAAGGAGTCTATGACATTTATGATACTAGACTGACAATTGAAAATAAAATGGCAGATTTCCATGTGGCAACCGTTGATGTCAGGCATGAAAACATCCATGCAACAGAGTCAACTGCTGAAATGGAATTTGGCTATATGTATGAATGTAAAATCAAAGTAAGGCTGTCTTTAGTTTTGGCTCTCAATCTTTTTTATATTAAGTTAAGTGGAATGTTCTGCCATTCCCAGCTCTCCATATAGTTTTGCATGCATGTGAATATTTGTTTTTTTCCATAAGTGTTTTGGAAGGCAGGGGTAAGCTGTCACGTGCTCACCCTTGAACTGCTTGTTTCTCATTGGATGAGTGATTTATAGATATCACATTCTCAAAAACATTTTTTTTTAATATATAAATTATGTTGCACAAGAGAAGTATAATACAGCTTTCAAGGTTTGGACATTTCCCTCAAGATTTCTAGTATATCAACTGCACTAAATGATTTGAACTAGGGGATTTCATGTGATAGTGTTGTCTGATTGTCCTGGTGAGTGTAGTCCTTAGAGGGTCTCATGTTGATAGTGGCTCGGTGGTAGAGCATGGAAGCGCGGAATCCGAAGGTCTAAGGCTCGATTCCTCATGGGGTCTTAGAATTTTTTTGTCCCACGCTCGTGGCGAGACGAAAAACATCTTTCTTTATTTTGCTTTTTTGTCACACAGAACAAATAGATTGTGTTACATGCAAGAGCATCAGTGTCACACTCGGCTGCGCGTCGTGAGCCACTTTTTTGTTCTTGCCACATTTTGACGCCATCTGTGATCTTTTATTGAACAGACCCACGGCAACGTAGCATCTATATGTTATTTTCTTGTGGCTTGAAAAGTTATTTGTTTCAATTTCAGGCGGGACACAAAGCTTGCCTGACCCAACTGGGAAGTATGTACTATCCCGTTTGCATCATTGCTACAGATGTTGAAGACCAGTATATTGGCGACGTGAAACTGGCAATGGAAAGCCAGCAGATGTTCAGCATAAGAGAACAAGACACACCCGAATGTGTCAAGTTGGACGTATTAACAATCGAAGGGTAAAGCAGCAAATTTTATAATACTTCTACGTTATTCTTTCAGGCCTCTGTTTCACTGGAAACTATTCTGGTACAGCTTATTGATCTGTTATCTAACACTAATTACATTCATTTGTTTAGCATTTCCAAATTTGAAATAAAGATAAAATGTAAAAGGGAATGAACTCGTCATGGCTCAAACGGTCCCGGACAGGTTTGAGCTGACGCACTAAAGCATCGGGTTAAAATGATTAAAGGTGAACGTACATGCAATCGGAACCAAGTGTGCAGGTTTTATGTTTTTGATTGATCCTTTCAGTGATGTAAGTTGTTTAATAGTTTGTTTACGTGTTTGTTTGCGTGTTTGTTCGTGTTGAATTGTTTGGATCACCCACGCGCAGGAGAATATCAAAAGAGGCAATTCAGAAGTACTGTGACATTCATTGTCATACAGGAGACTCTGCCTACTCCCAATAGTGTGGTGTGAGTTCTCCGTTTGTTGGTTTGTTTTCATAAAGATATCGTGTTATGTAAATCCTTAACCCTATAACTTCCGAGATCTAATTAGTAATTCTCCTTACTGTCTGCCATACATGTCTTGTGATGTTTGTTTGATAAACTTATATTCCCCAAATTGCTATTTTTCCTTGACGTCATCACTTTTGTGCTTGATATTGTATTGATATTGAAAGGAGAAATTCTGTCTTGGTCACTCATGGGAGTTAAAGGGCTAAAGACTTCCATGAGCAAATCTTAAGTGAGACATTTGAATTTCAGACAAAGATGTTGGCGTGCCATTTACTATGGTAAGATGATTGTACCGGATCAACGTACTAGGGATGGTCACCTCATGATAAAAAATCTTTGCAAGTATTTTCGTGTCAAGTTTGGAATTCGGCTCAGGGAACCCGATAACAACATGCTGAGGAATGTTAGCCTCAAGATGTTCAAAGTGGAGAACGTGCCTCCCTACAAGAGCGATATGGATAGGAAGACGCTGTTGAAAGCTCAGGCTGTTAAAACCAAGGAGATTTATGAAGGTAATGCCGTATAAATAGGGTGGGGTGTTAGAAGGGAACATTCAAGGAAAGTTTAAAACTTTCTTTTTTCATCATTTTGAGGAATAACTGCAACAAAAGCCTTTATGATATACCTATTAACTCCCCGGCATGGGGGGGGGGGGGGGGGGGGGGGGGATTTTATCATGAAAACTTTCCCTTTATTTTCTCCCCTGTAACTTTATGGTCATGGGTAGGAACATCTTTTGATATTTAAACTTTTTCAATAGACTCCCTGGCACCAGTGCGTACCTTTGCTGAAAATGTTTCCTCACCATTTTTTTCCTGTATATTTCTTTGTTGTAGGGAAACCAGAGAATTATGTTCCAACTTTTCAAGCCCACAGAGTCGAGGTTGCACCCCACACGTTTAATCGTTTAAAGTACCAGGTTGACGATTCTTCAGGGGACGGGGTTGTTTTTCAGATCACCAATAATGGGCACCTCCCAGTTCATATTTGTTTGGTTTCCTACCAGTCAGATGGCTCCATTTTGGTCTTATATCCAACAGCGAACAGGGCAAGTCATTTTTTTTGGTTTTGTTTTATTATCGGGCATTGTGCATTGCTTTACCGGAAAAGGGTTTTTACATCTTCAAGACGAACATTTTTTTCGTTTGTTTTGAAAAGACATCGCCCTACTCAGGGGAATCCTGATTTTCATTTACTTTCAACACACCAAAGTAATATCGCGATTTATAAAACCACTTGTATTTTTTTCTTTTACGACCTCGTCAGTTGATACAATAACTATTCGAACCTAAAGAAATTTCATGAAGCAACTGCTAATGCCAGTGTCAAAACGAATGATTAGTTTAGCGTTTTTTTTTAGATGGCAAGTTATCGGAAAGGGTTTATGAAGCACATACGCCTTTTAAGACATTCGTACTTTGAAAATCATATTATTATCACAGTTGGAAGCGTTTTACCTCTAATAATTATTAATGCAAATAGTAGTTTGTCCTAGTGCATCGAAACTATACCACCCAAGGTAACTTGGGTCTATCAAATGAGTTGATGACGTAACTTGGCCACCTTCAAGAGTTTCAAACAGAAGCTGATCTTTCGAGCGTCAGCCATCCGTCAAAGCGAAGGGCTAACGTTCTGACGAAGGGCTAATGCTCGAAACGTCAGCTTTGAAACTCTTAGCGGTGGCCAATTTAATTACGTTGTCAACTTAGTTGATCATACTAAATTACCATGTTATACTCTCCCACCGACGCAGCACCACAGTTTCTTTAGAAACTTACCCCCTTTTATAACATCCAAGGTATGTTTTAACTGATAAATTTTATACACTGACAATCAAATACCGTAGAGTTCTGAAAACTGAATGCTGTTTGTATTCATCCACTCTGTAGGGTATCAGCGGTGTGCTTAATCCTGGTGACTCAGTATCAGAGATCAGGCGCGTCTTTATCCAGCCTGAGACAGTCCGTCTCATGGGGGAGCCCAACGTTGAATTAACAAGACCTGACGGTTGTAATGACATCGTTGTGTTGTATGCTACAAATGCCGAGGTTGATTATCAGCCTCTGTTCCAGACTCCTTTAGAGCTCAGTCCTTATTTAAGCACTAGAGGGATTGACACACCCGATGTATGTATCACTTTTCTTTGTATAAATTAAGTCCATTTATGAATGTACAAATTATTATTAGAACGTTTTGAGTGTCGAAAACAATTTGGGGTTTCATTGGAGTTTCTTTGCTATGATCTGTGATTATAGACAGTCTTGAAGACTCGATAGCTAACCCGTTCGCCGCGCTCACTCGTGAGCTATCGAGTTAAACACTCGAAGAGAAATTTCATATCCACAAGCAACCATTATTTTGTTAAACACAATAGTCCTTTACTGACAAGAAATGTCAACTTTATTAATTAATGAATGAAAATAAAATTATCGACAATCCCCGAATAAAAATCGCAAAGTGCGTTGGCGCTAAGGCTCAAGATGAAAAATACGTTGAAACACTATTAAAACAAAGAATGGGCGTAATTTTCGATACACAAAATTCTCAGTTATTGACTTAGTCCTTACCAACAGAAGATATTTTTTAGGTACACAGCAAAAATCGGCCTGTAACAAATCTTCTAGTTGTCGATTTTCATTCTCAGCCGCGAGAAATGCCATTACCAAAGCCACTGATACGTAACTCACGGTTTTTCTTTCCGAATTTTGGTTTTCTTCAGCTTCTGGGAAAGTTTGAACGTCACTGTCTGTAAGCGATACGGATTTTTCAGTGTTTTAGCAACCATAATCCGAAAAAATTTTGGCAAGCGACCTTGGATTGAGAATGGTAAAGGCTTCGCCGTTCATTTATTAACCTGACCGAGTGGCGCGAGAGGCGAGTGACGTGTCAGCAGCTGATTGGCGATATCAAACGTTGTTACGGCTTTTCTCAAGGCTGGAAATCCTTGTATAACACCGTAGTTTATATGATAAAATATGTTCATACTTATAGTGCGCAATTTCAACGTGCTATTATGATCAAATGCGACCAAGTGTGACAATGGCTACTCCTGTTTCCCCGCGCTTTAAGCGTTGTGCTTGTTTCTACTTTGGATTCTCATTAGCCCTTTGTAATATTACTTTTGTTCTGATTGGTCATTTGGATCTATGCGATCCCACAACTTACCTCATGCAGATAGCTAGTCACACACTAGAACTTATCTGTCACAGTTGTCAAATTGACTATGAATCATTTTGGTGTTAAAAATCTCTTTAGGGTAACGAGAAAAAAAGAAAGGGAAAATAGTCTTGATTTATGTAATTTCGAGGTGAATGGAACAGTTAGGGAAGTAAAATAAATGTAGGGGAACATTCACAACATGTGCATGTCAGTGAAAAGTTAGGTACAGGGATATCAAAATGTTTCTTGTAGCTTTAGGAAATCAAAATTCTAAAATCGAAGGTTTATTATTTGTTTGAGTATTCCATTAAGATACACTTATCCTATGAGGTTGTAGGTGTGACATGCACCGGCTTGGTCTGGTGTGAGTTTTTACCAAGCGAAGCCAGTAAAAATTGACCCGTGGTTAGCGAAAGGTAACGAACCCCTGTTCACCTAGTTACACAACGTAAGTGTATCTTTTTTACTTTTTCTGTGTTGTTTAAAACAGGGATTACGACTTGACACCGTCGCCAGGTTTCGAGAAGCTTTGGAGTCCGAGCCAGTTAACCGGGACATTTTGGATGGCGACGTGAAGTGGATTACTTTGAAGCGGGAGATCAGGGTGCTATACCATCCACAACAAACCTTTGAGCCAATCGTCTATCCCAAGAAGGAAAAGGAAAAGGATTAAAGCAGGAACTACTAAATAAATGTGGTTCTACGTTCCTTTTTTTTTTTATCTCTTCTTTTTTGGTACTGTAGTTTTAATTTTAATCCCTTAACAAAGATTTATTATTTAAGATGACTGCAATATAACAGATCTAAATATGAACATTAATGTTTTAAAACATTTAAGAGGGATACACGATGTCCAATCCCTGAACGTTCTGGTGTAACCTAAGATCTTTGGGGGGGAAAAGAAACTTGTTGTGGTCGTCTTTTCTCTGAAGTTTTTTTCGAGAACCATGTTGTCTTAAGAATAAAATCGCTTTGCTTAAAAGTAAAAAAAAATCTGCAGAATTGCCTGAGCTACTTTTGTCTTTATTAAGAACATTAGTAGACACATACAATAAGTTCAACTTATCTGGAGCAGACATAATCAAGTAAAATCTAGGGGTAACCCTCCCATTACAACTGTCTCACCGCGGATGCGGAAAGGGATAGAGAGCTATAGGTTGATGAAAAATCAGTCACCCAACTAAAAATCAGTTTTTTTAAGGACAGACAAGTGTTTTTGTAAAAGTGCTGCTGCAGGATGTAAACTCTAATGCTTTTAAAAAAAAGAAATAAAATTTAAACGGTTTGCTTGTTTGTCTCCTTCAAGTATTTGCCACGGCTCTTAAAAAATTAAGGGTCTGAACCCCAGTGAAGGAGAATGAAGGTGGAAAGAGGTTATTATATGTCATGGAGATGAATGGGTGGGTCACAGGAGAACAATGTATAATTCTTATTATAAAAAATGAATGTTACTATGAGTACTGTTCTTCCAAACTGACCTTTAAAGCCAAACATCAGTCATCGACTTTTCCCAGTAATGTTTTACTTAAAGATAGAAATAATTGACATCATACTTTTAAGTCACGACTTCATTCTCTGAGAATGGAAAAGGAATTAAGTTTGGTGCCCCTTTATTTATTTTAATGTTTACGATGATCATGGTTAACACGTTGATAATTTGACCCAGTAAGGAATTCCTCCCAACCCTCATGCGTGTCAATGTTGTTAAGGACGGGCGACAAAATAAATTCAAAGAGAAATGTAGTATGGAGACTTTATGTAGAGATCTTGAATGTAAAAGGGAAATTTAGTTAAAACTCTCCTGAAATTTATAGAGAAGCTCGCAAGGTGTGATTTTCACTGTCATGATCATACGAGCACTTGATTTGGAACACCTGATGAAACGTTACATTACCCCTAAAAGTAACTGGCTTCTCATTCTCCTCATAATGTCACTCTTGAATCTATATGAAGGTCATGAAAATGAAGGAAACGATCACAAACTCACAAAACTCCTGATTTTCAAACCAATTCTCCTTGTCAGTTCCATGGGAAATGTAAAGAGAACAGTGCGGAGAATATGATTACTAATGTAATGGGTTGATAAATGGATACTTCGATACGGAAATACTTATTAATGCCCAAATGAGCTTATTGTAAGTTATCTAGATTAGAGAGAAGCGTCAACAGAGGCGCACTCCAGTAATCCTCCATAAAACTCTACCTTTGAAAGCATAATGCTGTTACTATTAACATTGCTAATATAACTAGTATCAAGCAACTCCTTGTTCTCCAACACTGCAGGTCCTTGATGCTTGAAAATGTCATCTCTTTCGTCATCTCTCCGTCGCAATCCTTATGACTCGGAAGATTTTTCCTTTGCCGTGGTCCTTGAGTTGAACTGCTGAAGAACAAGACATTTTAACCTTTGGTACAACAAATTCACATTTGGCACGACATTTAACGTTTGGTTCAAATTTTATACTTTGGAAAATGTCAAAAAGGACTGAAGCCAGTATTTCCAGTGTAACATTTTAGGTACTTTGCCTGGCCCCCTTGATTGGAGAGCACAGCCTTACTAAGTCAGGTTTTTGGGGTCTTGAGTACTGATTGAACAGGGTGAGCATTCTCATTTAAAAATTGTCTCACTGGACCGAACGACTTCAATAGAGCGTGAGTATTGTCAGTATACGGTCTGCTTTTTCGCGCTACAACAATTTCCCTTAATCTAACTCCTACATTCTGTCTGAAATTAAAGGGGTGGCTACTTGAGTTGTGTAATTTAAAATTCGTTTAACAACATTTTGTTAACTTTCTGAGAAAATAACTTTTCACCACATACTTTTTTTGGGATGTACCCGTCTCCTGATTTTCATCTCGTTCTAGCTGGGAACCGTTTTGCTATTAAACAAAAAAAGAAAACATGTTACTATGACTCATTCTGTACGACTCATCTTAACAAATTTTGCGTGCAGTTGTTTCGAGGTAGGTCAGTGGAGTCAAGTTTTATTCCTCATTTTACACCTAAACTATTATAGAGAAATGCAGATCTAACGAAACAAACCATAACAAAGGTTCCTGAGCATGCTTGCCAACGGGAAAACGGGGCTTTGTTATTTGAATACTGCAATTACTCTTTTCAACCGTACCTGCTCGTTGAGTCGCGTATCTTCGGTATCTGCGTGAAAGTTTCTTCTAACGTTCAACCCTGCATTCGGAGAATTGCTGGTCTCCTCGTACCCGGATGAAAATTCAGTTGAGTTGGTTCTGTCTCTGGAGCTGCTATAACCCTCTGTAATTTAACAGAATGCAATAAGTATTTTAAAATGCTTGAGGCGATGAGAGACTCTATTTGGCATCCTTCTTTTGGTCCAGAGAATTCGATATAAATTTGGAGCCAACTTATTTTGATAGTTCATGCTAGAGTACTGAGTCAAATTCTGTTTTGCCTTTACGATCCGGATTAAACTGGCTTTTTCATTAGGTCCAAACAAGGGTAAAGATTATTAAGATATGTGTACATCACCCTAAAGTTTGGGAGGGAAATGTCTCGCGTCACTCGTGCATCTACGGTCCTGAATCATGCGCCACTTCAGACACTTGCAATGTCGTTTCATTTGGAAAAGAATCATATAAAATGAACGATAAGAGAAACTAGTTTACAGTTCTTTCTCTCGTGTGATGTTTCTTACTTACCGTCACAACCTGTCGGCTCTTGTTCCTCAACAGCGTTGGGTCTTCGTGTTGTTTGTGACTGGTTTTGTGTCTCGTCTTCTTCCTGCCCCTCTGGCACTGCTGCTACTTCACACCTTTGTTCACCTTTCATATCTTTATTGCGACTTTTCTTTTCTAAAGAGGTACAAGGTTTGATGTCAAGGAGGTATCATCGGGTGCGGGAGAATTTTCTCCCTATTAGTTCATTTTCTTTCTTTACTCCATAACTTAAGGGCATTCCAGTTAGAATGTAACTGTTTAAGTTGAAAATAATGGTACTACGTCACCGGGCTGCTTTACAAGTTTTTCAGACAAAAACGGGTTGTCGCCAGGGAAGAATAATTTGAGAATGTTGGCAAGACAGATGGTAAGATGGACCGAAACAAACAGTCATTAAAACCCTGAGAAGTAGATAAGATGTGCATTGTGGTTCAGAAAATGTAAATATTTATTGAACCTGCAACAATTATATACTACTTACCAACAAGAAGAAGAATTTTCTCCGTAAGAGCTTGACACCGCCCTGACCAGGCGAATTCACTTTCGCACCTCTCTTTTAACCTCTTGGCTTCCTGTAATCGCTCTGATCTCGGTTTCTCCTTGATTAATCGAATCGCGTTCGCCCATTCCTTTCTGTCTTCGGAATTCACGATACAAGCTGATTCGTTTATCTTTTGAAGAGCTTTGGCAAAACCTGAATTTTTTCCGACCAGAATCGGTAGACCTGCGGCTAAGGCTTCTAGAGCTGTCAATCCAAAGCCTTCTGTTCTTGACGGCATGATGGCAAGATCCACCTCGCACAGCAACTGAGCGACTTCATCTCTACTTTCGATAAAACCACGAACTGTCAACTGACGACGAGAGATGTCACACTGAAGTAACTTCTTTTCAACATCTTCCTGTTGTCCATGTGGTGCGCCAACAGCATAGAGGTGGTACTTCTCATCGTTAAGTTCTGCAACTGCTCTTGCGGCTATGTCAAATCCTTTAAGCTTGAAATCTTCCGAGTCACCACGACCAAATATCAAGACGTTGAAATTTTCTCTGTCTTCCTTGACCTGCTTGCACGAGCGAAATTCATGGAACATACTTGGATCCGGAATCATTTCGAAAACCTTCTCCGGTCCGCCTTTATCAGGACGCAGTGAGGTCTTGTAATACTCTGTTAGTTTGGGACCAATTGCAGCCACAACATCAGCGCGTTTGGCGAGATCTACCTCATCGCGGTGCTTACTTTCTCCTCTTGCGATTTTGCCTTCATAATTCTTGTAGGTGCCAAGTTCCTCCGGAGCGGTATGCTCAAACTGAACCCAGACACATCTTGGATGTTTCACTTTAATCAGCTGTGCCTGCTTTCCCAGCTTCACTCCATGCCCAACAACCACGTCAATCAGTGGCAATTCCTCCGGAGGGAACGATAGCCGCTCAAAACCATTATTATAACCAGGTCGTTTCTTGGCTTTTATAATGTTGATGTTACTACTCTTGGCCATTTGCTTATCTTCTTCGTTGGATTTGATAACGTAGAAGTAGATTCTCAGATTGGAGTATCTTGCAAGCTCGATTGCCAGTTGCCTATTGATTGTTGAGAGGCCGCCTTTGCCGGAGCCCCACTCCTCAGCTAACAGCAGAACAGTAATTTCATTGGTTGAGGCTATATTCTCTTTTCCTAAGATCGTAGATGGATGGTCAATTAGAAGATAAAAAGATATTTAAAAAGAAATAAATTGCTAGCTAGCATGCGTGTAAAGATTCCTTCTAGTTGGACACTAAGCAACATAGATCTATCAGAATGGTATTGAATCGACTGTTGATCATCCCTGCATGATTTAACCCTTCTAGTTTCTTAAATGGTATAGATAATGGAATGAAGATCTCGGTCTGCTGGTATTGGCTCATATGCTTCTCTGATTTTCCTCCATCCAAAGAGCCAGTAATTCAAATATTTAATGTAATATTCTACCTGATGAAACTTAAGGGGAAATAAGAGTTTAAAATGTATGATGGTACACAAAAGTGAAAACAAAACAAAATAAACCTGTTTCCTCCTGACTGTTATTTTTCCCCGAAGCCTAAAAAAAAAGAAAGCAATTCCAGTTAGTTACCAACAAATGCTTCTATCAATCTACCTGCAATTCGTCGGCCAATTGAAATCAATTAGGCCTCCGGTAAATTTTTAGTGAATTTCACTTTTGTCATATGGATGTTGTAAGAGAGCGTTACATGTACGAAAATCCCATTTTTTAAATCCGAAGAACGGTCCTATGTCGCGCGTTAAAATCTTCGCTCTTAAATCGCTTCACGAAGGTCTTTCTCGTTACAACAAAGAAATTATGCTTTCTTGTGTGGTATATAAAAACAATGAGCTACCTGGACCCATCTCTCAAATTTTTCCTCAGGGAGACGCTTCATGGCCTGTTGGCAAAACAAGGCAATGTGCCTTTTCAAGGGAATATAGTGGGCGCAGTCTTCGTGATGACAATTTCTCTTGTCGTGCCAGATACATTTTCGGGTCTTTAAGTTGACCATTCCTGCGCAAAGTCTGCATTGCACACTGAGATCCCAGGAAACAGAATGTAACCAGTGACAAGTTGCAC